CCGCAAGGATCCGATCGCAGTGTGCACCGCTGGACCTCAACCGCAAGAATCCGATCGCAGTGTGCACCGCTGGACCTCAACCAGATAGATTGCCAGATAAAATGCCAGATAGAATGCCAGGTAGATTGCCAGATAGAATGCTGCAAGAAGATATGCCAGATAGTATGCCAAATAGTGTGTCAGATAGATTGCTAGATACATTGCCAGATAGAATGCCAGAAAATATGCCAGATAGAATGCCAGATAAAATGCCAGATAGAATGCCAGAAGATATGCCAGATAGAACGACAGATAGTATGCCAGACAAAATGCCAGATAGTATGCCAGACAGTATGCCAGATAGTATGTCAGATAGATTGCCAGATAGAATGGCAGATTGAATGGCAGATAGTATGCTTCAAACACACAACCACAAACACAACCACAAGCTCACAACCACAAACACAACCACAAACACACAAATACAAACACATAACCACAAGCACGCAGCCACAAACACAACCACAAACACGCAACCACAACCACAACCACAACCACAACAACAAACACAACCACAAAAAATAACAACAAACACACACCCACAAAGACACAACAATTGACACACAACCACAGACACACAACCACAAACACACAACCACAACAACAAAACCACAAAGACACAACCACAAACACACAACAACAAACACAACCACAAACATAACAACAAACGCACACCCACAATCACACAACAATAGACACACAACCACAAACACAACCACAAACACACAACCGCAAACACACAACCACAACAACACAACCACAAAGACACAACCACACACACAACTACAAACACACAACCACAAACACACAACCACAAACACAACCAGAAACACACAATCACAAATACACAATCACAAGCGCAATCACAACCACAACCACAACACACAACCACAAACACAATCACAAACACAATCACAAACACAACCACAGCACACAACCAGAAACACACAACCACAAACATAACAACAAAGACACAACCACAAAGACGCAACAATAAACACACAACCACAAACACAACCACAAACACACAACTACAAACACAACCACAAACACATCCACAAACACACAACCACAAACACACAACCACAAACACAACCACAAACGCACAACCACAACACACAAACACAAACACAACCACAAACACACAACCACAAACACACAACCACAAACACGCAACCACAACAACACGACCACAAAGACACAACCACAAACGTACAGCCACAAGCGCAACAAACACATCCACAAACACACAATCACAAACACACAGCCACAAACACACAATCACAACCACAACCACAACCACAACACAGCACACAACCACAACCGCAACACACAACCGCAGCACACAACACGAGGACCCACAAGCAAAATCGAGAACTACACTACTCACGACCATGGCAACATGCTCCACACTATGGCATCAAGTCAAATGATTGAAATGTCATGGTGGGGATCACTCGAAGTAAAGTAATTGTTTTTTGCACTGATATAATCTACATGTATAGTTGTTGATTGCTTTGAAAAGGACGTGTTGGTTGAATCCAGGGTGCAAAGCGGCTATTCAGCTATTTGAGAACCCTCAACCAAAATGCTCCAACATCGTAGCTAGCGAGCTGTTTCAATGTTGCATAGCCCCAAGTATTTCATTGAACTTGAAGAGGTCCTTTGATGGCTTTAAAACAACAGAAAGGCCTGCTGTGAGCGGCAACCAATTGACTTTTGCGGAAGATATTGAAGTATAATCTGACGAAATCCACAGCTTACCACTGGCTTTGCTGCATGTGTGGCATGAGAGGACTTGTGCCTGTATTTGGCTGCATCCCTTTTCTGCACTCTAGAAGCACATATGAATCTGGATTAATCATGCTCAATGTAAAAGAAACATGTGTCCACAGCGACTCTTGTAAATCATGTACTTACTACATTGTATTCAATAAGAGCAACATGTTCCCCTAAAAAGCAACAGTTTTTCCTGCAGCCCAAGATGTGCCGCCAGCAATCTTTTGTGATGCATAACTCGAACAAGCAGTCATGAAGTCTTGATGTTCTTTTTGGGCCTGATATAATCTACATTGTTGATTGTTTTGAAAAGGAAGCTTTGGGTGAATCCCGGGTGCAAAGCGGCTATTCAGCTTGTTGAGAACCATCAACCAAAATGCTACACCATCGTAGCTAGCGAGCTGTTGCATAACCCCAAGTATTTCATTGAACTTGAAGAGGTCCTTTGATGGCTTTAAGAAATCCTCAACCCAGCTGGGACTTCTAATCTCCTACCACGCTGGAGCATAGTGGCACAACTCCATCGTCTTGCATTCCTTGCTTCGAGCAGGGAGCCTATCACGCCCACTTGGACTCACTTACATGGACTGCGCAAATAGGCACCTGGAAGTTTGCGGAAAGGTTCCTCTCAAAAGCAACAGGTTTTCCTGGTGGTCCAGGAAAAGACGCCTGGGCAAGATGTGCCGCAGAAGGCTGCAGAGCCTGGGCTGGATCCTTCTGGTCAGTGGAGTTGGCAACATCCATCCGGTGACATCGAAACCCGCATGGAGGCACCTGCTGTTTCCCCTCGGGATGTTTATTCTTCACATCTAAGACATGGAATGTGGTATGGATGAAAAAGAATCCGAAAGGAAGATCGGACTGTCCTACTCACGAAGAGAGGGGGGTTCCACTTGTAGTGTGATTTTTTCTCTGAGTGAGTGGACGGGAAAATCCATAACGGTGTCCTGGCTGGAGGTCCCTATAGGTCGTGGGCTGGTTTCGCGAGCTTCCAGCCAGGTGACGTAGGTCGGAAGGTGCTGGTACAATTCATATGATATGTGAAATAGGATCATAAACCCCTAAACCCTTAAAGGTACATACAAAACCCTTAAACAATTCATATGGTACAGACTAAACCCTTAAACCCTTAAACCCTAAACAGGCATTCGGCATGGAGCCGGGACGACCCTTCGAGCCGGGACGACCCTTCGACTTCTGAACGTCCCCTCGCGGAGGGAGGCGGATGGAGGCGGACGAAACCGTCAGATGGGGGCAGATGGACGGTTCAGAACCGTCCAGTCAAACGAACCAGTTCTTAGTTGATGTTCCAGCCCAGCGCGAGAGCGCAGAAAGAGAGCAGCGCTCTCGAGCGCTTGGTCTCTGCTCCGTCCGGTCGTTTCGGAACTATTTCTTTTCGACCCTCCATCGACCCCCACTCAGCTGAGAGCTTGTTTCTCTGCGGAGAACGGTGGGCTCATTTCGCCCTCGCCGGCGTTTTGGGCCGCGCGCCGCAAAAGCTCAGGAGATTCCGACGCTCAGTGTGAAGGACAAGGACGATTCGGTCGTGGAAGTCTCGTATGAGTGGGTCCTGATGGGCCCGAAGACGGTGTGTCGCCAGACTCCCCAAGATCCGATGCTCGGATGGACCGATGGATGAGGAGGGAGGGAGGGTCGGAATCGGAGCTGCACACGGTATGACAGGGTGGGGTCGGCTGAGCAGAACGGAGCTCGCGCTCTGCGGACCGCGACCAACTGACAGGGTCGGGATTGTTTTTGCCGGGTACTGTACCGGGGGTGTACCTCGGCCTGTAAGGTTGGAGGGGGGGGTTGATGACGGAGTCATTGTAGAGATGATTGAAGAGTCTCCCCCCTATAAGCTTGGAACCTGAACATGGACGCAGGAAGTGGTCTGGATTTGTTGTTGGTCTGTCGCAGGTGATATCGAATTCGTTATGGGTGTGACCAAAGAGAGACATTGCCTCTCATAGGTCTTTGCCAGGCTAACATATTTGACCCATTTGTAATTGTAATTAGGTGCCAGGCAGATCTGTGTGACACACCGCCTTCCCTACTGGTCGGCAGAACGCAGAACGCACACTGGATGAATTTCGCGGATCAGTTGCCGTGGATCCTGGTTGAGGGATTGGTAGATCTTCTATGGAACGCTCATCCTCAAGAGGTTGTCTTATGTATGCAGATTGGGATGGATGATTTGTTGGTCAAACACCCAGTGGTATCCCCAAAACTTGTTTGCGAATCCCAGTCCCCTCACTTCTTTCAAAGGTGTGTTTCTGTTTGTGGTACTCCAATGGGTACTGCTGGGCGTGTTTCCATGGAGTTGTTGTTCCAACTGTCAGTTCAATGGTCTTTACTTTTGGAATTACAGTATGTATGTTTGTGTAAAGTTAAGGCAAATGCAATTCGATCAGCCATCCTGCCGCCCTAAAGAATTGCAGCTAAATAAGTAAATATAAGTAAGAAAGTCAATCATTGTCATGTGTACGTGTATATATATATAGAGTCACTTCGTCAGGTTGGTATATATTCAATCAACAACTCAACAACGGAAGCTACTGTACATGAACTATGTACCTTCCAATTGTCTTCACGAGAGTGGTGTACATACACAAAGACAACCTGGAGCTCATTGCACACGTATATGTATATAATGTATACATTTAGAATATATTAATATACTTATTAATACACATTTGTTTGTTTTGTTAATTTTTCAGAACACGACGTTGTGGAGGTGTCTGTTTTCCCAGTGCTCTAGTCTTCTTACGAATTTACTATCTATGCGCTGGAGGTGTTCTTATTTCAGGATAAAATGTAGGAGGATACTGTCACATCACGCGCCACATCACAGTAGCAGACATCGCATAGACATCGCAATGTCGCCAGCGTCGCGGACATGGACCGCACAGAGTTTCCCAGAGGGGGGGGGGTCGACCAAAAAAATAAAACTGGTGACTTTGATTTGAGGCAGCACCATTTTTTTTTGCCGACCCCCCTGGGAAACGGAGAGCATACTGAAGAATCAGAAAGGAAAATGCGCAAGGAAATGGAATAGGACAATCCTGATGAGACCTCATGTGTTGAAGGGGGTTTTTGATGAAAGGTCCAAGTAGGAGACAGAGATTCTGAAGCATCAGCAAAGCACAACAGCAGATGAGAGAACGCAAAGGAGTGGATTGAGCAAAGGGAAGAAAGCATCAGGTGGGAACCACATGAGAGTCAGGGCATCAGGTGGGAGTGCCAAGCAACAATTCCCCCACTTGGTTGGTGAGGTTAAGACATGGTTGGAAAGGGAAAGGAGTTATGGGCATGGGGTGCAGAAGATGGATCTTGCATGGAAATATTTTCAGCTGCTATCAGTGCAGGAAGTCAAGCTTGAGGAGAAAAGGGACGAGCTGGAAGATGGGCCCCAGAAGATTCTTTGTATCAATCAATTGGAAAGGGCTGAATCCCAAATGAAGAGCATCAAAGAGGGGTATAAGCAAAAGGGAAAAGAGGGCCAAGATGCTTATGGATTCTTTTGGTGCCGAACATATGACTCCAAATGTGTTGGCGCCCTTGAGCAATGAGGAGCAGCAGATTTCAGCAGAATTGGCATGGAACCACTATGACTATATCATGGGCCTTGTGTCCATGGGGCATGAAGATCTGAAGGAATTTGTGGCAAAGCCTGAATGTGTGCTTGGATTCTCAGATCAGGTTCCTGTATGGGTGAAAAAGGGATCAACTAAGGCTGTATTTGCAGGCCATGAGACCAGGACACATGGGAAGACCATCAAAAAGATTAGGAGGGACCTTCAAGATGAGCTGAACCAACAAGCCCATGAGACAGGAACCCAATGAGGACCTTGAGGCATTGGATGATCAGAAGAAGCAAGATTGGCAATTGGTGACCACTGAAGATCAAAAGGGTGGGGGAAGAGCTCATTTGACTATCAAGACGGACTCAGCAACTGAGAAGATGAGGATTACCTTTAAGGCCCATCAGCTGGCGAGCAATTTCTTCAACCCTGGTGAGGACCCCATTGGACATGTGAGCAAGGGGGGCGCTCATAGTACCTGGGCAACATGCAAGATTGGACAAGATTGATGACAAAGGCAGGTGGATTGAGGATGAATCATTCCTGCATAGGAAGGGAGAGAGTGCCAGGAGGGCATTGGAGCAATGGGTCAAGATCAGAAGGGGTCATCCTCATTTGTTGGAGCACTATGATGTTTATTCCCAACCATCCTCCAATCAGGACAATATCATTATGTCATGAGTCATTGGAAAGCAAGGGAGGATGTATCCAGTATCATCTATCAGAGGGATTGCTTTGCTGCTTCATTTAGCGATGATACATACAAGATGATGTACGCAGCCCATCAGCTACAGTCTATCATTCCTCCAAAGATGACAGCTATGATGCAATTGACAGATACAGACTTTAGCTATGTGTTTAACAACTTGATGAGGAAATCTGTTGATAAGATCATGGCAAAGGGGCAGCAGGCTATGGGCACAAGTGATGTGCACCAGATGGGTGAATGCAACGAAAACGTAGAAAATCTATTGAAAATCGTAGAAGAACGCAAAAAGCACTGAAAAAAAACAGAGACACCTCCAGGGCGTCGTGCTCTCTAGTTTTTTGAACATATGCATCCTATTTCGGATCATTCTTCGGTGCGATCTTTTGGATCAAATTCAGGATCATTTGGCCGGCGAACCATGTTGACCGGGTGTTGACCATCGCACACGTGTGCCACGATCCACCGCCCTGCCGCAGAGCTGCAAGTCTTTGTCGCCAGCGACAGGAGTGTTTTTTTGGTTGAACAGAAATGTCTCAACATGAACTCAAATAGGAAAAACACATGTTTTTTTTCAAGATCTAGTCTGTTCTTTTTAATGCTCGTTTGTCTAGAATTTCTTGGCTCATTTTTTTGGGGTGTGTATTTTTAGACTGGGAGACCAGTCACTATAATGGGTTGACGGTAGACTGATCTATTTTCCTTCTTCCAGAGAGGTCTCCCTATGTCAACACACACCCATGTAGTCTACCAGAATGGTTTTATGGCTTTACATCTCCAGACCAGGGTGGTTTTATCCATCATCAGTCTACAATGTCTACATACATTATTCTAAAGAAAGAGACCCCCAACCATGCCCCCACACATTAGTTTGGGCCATATCGGGGGCCGCACTCTTTCTCAAGATTAAAGCACAACACCTATATGGACTTCCCTCCAAAGCCTTGGCCCAAACGGGCCGCACCGTGCCACGCACACCGGGCCGCACCGGTTCCTCGTGATTGGAGTGGACATGAGTTGTTGTATTCGTCAGTCCAAGGTTGTAACCCCCATGAGGTCCATCAGCATATCTATATATAATGCATAGTTTGGATTAATAAACCCCCCTAGTTAAACCGCGCCCACACAGCCCCCAAAAATCACCCAAATTGAAAGTATTATTGGAGCTAAATTCCACCCCTAATAGTGTACTTGTCATCTAGAACCCCCCAATTAAACCGAGCCAGACAACCCAGAAAATGTAGTTATTTATTTTTAATTATTAGATTAACTAAGGGGATATATTTATTAGCTAAGGGTCTAATGGCCTCATAGCATATTATTCAAGGGGGGGACCTCATGAATTGATAACCTCAGACCTTCTGGATCTTGTTGACCTTCTACGTGGGGGGGCCGGTTTATTAATCCGGGGTTTGTTTGCATTAAACACCTAGTTCCAAGGTTGCACCCCTGTTTTGGCGGATCAATTATCCAATTTGTTTGGCAAATTTCCCTTTAACACAGAGGTCATGTTTGGCTTCTAGGTGCATATATATAATATATATGTAACCTTATTACAGAGACCACAAATTGAGGATGAGCGTTCGGAATGAGCGTTCGGCACACCGAAACACCTCCGAAGTAGCCATTCGACCCGCCCGTAGACCGACCATTAGCCGATTCCATTCACCCGTGGTCAACGGGTCGACCGTTGTGACGTCGCCCTGTCGTCGCCCTGTCGTCGCCCTGGTCGTGCGAAAGCCCTATCCCGCACACCAGCTTGGTGGCTGATCAAACACAACCACCCTAAACTCACTAAGCATACCCCTCCAAAGAAGAACACATGTTTTTCGAGTCAGGCCCCAAGAATTGCTTAATTGCGTTGTGACATCGTGCCCTTGTTCGCAAGCCTGCTTCTCGAGGCTTCCAACTGTCAGGTTACATACATTCCCACAGATTGCCAGGTGCATATTGAATTTAGGGTGCCTGCAAAACGCTCAACATTGCTTCCTAAAACCCATCTAAAATCTGCCTTGTGGCGACTACAAGAACTTCTTCCTTCCCTTCTTCTTCGAACTTAAGGGGATTTCCTCATTTTCGTCGGTCGCTGTCAGCTCGTGCCATTGTCCCAGCCGTCACGGCGGCACGGCATGTGTTTGTTGATTCTCCTCCCCGACCTCACAATGCTTCCACATCAACGGAGTCTGCAGCCTGGGTCTTGTCCAAACAGAATCTTCTAAGTCTTCCTCATCTCCCTGGATGAGCCAAAGAGAGCGGGCGACGCGGGCGACGCGTCTTCTTGGACGACCCTGTCTGGACTGCTTCCTTGAACTCATTGACCTATGCCGGCCTGGTACTCGTATTCAGCACAACGAAGGGAAAACAACGCTTACAGGTTTTTGCATTAGGGGGATGGGGTTTGCTTTCGTCTTTTGATAAAAGGCATTCCCGTCAACAGAAACACGCCACAGTGTTAATAGTGGGTTAGGGATTACTATTACACTCTGATAAGCACATTGAATGGAAGTCCCAAAGCCCCTAGGCCAAACAGTCTTTCCTGTATTTCCATAGTACATATTGGCGAGTTGCTTGAAGCACATGGGCCAGCTATGGTGATTTCTGGATGTGCTAGTTAAACTGCCACCGGCCTATGACAGTGTAGGTGTCTTTGACGCCAAAGTCATGGGCACTAGAGAATTTTCAGATCGATTTCATTGGAATGTGTTTAAATCCATACCCATACCTGAATATACCTAGAACAGTGACCTCTATTTTCAAGCACCAACCAAGATAGTCAGATGGTCATGTCTTTTCCTATCAATCAAAACAGGGGTCATCAAATGGAATTCTACGTAGATGATGTCGATTTCGCATGAAGCTGTCTGCGCCTGTCCTCAGGTCAACTGCTGCCTTTGAGCACGCCGCTCACCCGCGAAGACTGTCAGAAGAGATGCATGGAGTTTGAGAACTGCCGTGGAGCCCCTCGGTGGACGAAAAAGGAACAACATCAAAGAGAGAGCCCTGTAGATTCTCTACCAGCACCCGACTCTACAGGTCTCCTCCAACACGACTTTTGAAGACTTAAAAGTCGCAGGTGGTGACCTGTTAGAGGGTGCTGGTATGTTCCTGTGTAGGATCTGTATCAAAGAGCCCTTCGGACATCTATGTTTGTTTGTTTCTGTATGCTTCTCTTTGGGGTTCTTTGTATGTGTTCCTTTCTTTTTTTGACAGAGATTACAGAGACGACAGACATAGTCACAGTAGGATGGAAGGAGGTGTGTCCCACGCAGTAGGAGGTGTTCGGTCACAGCCACTGTCCTGGAGGAATTTTTGCAGTGGGTACTTGGAGGGAGTCATTCACATGGTTCAGGGAGAACGGAGAACCACCTGCTGGTGGAGAAACATGGTCTTTCCGGGGCCAAGAAGCTATCCACTTCATGTTTCAGGGAGTGTAGACAGACACAGTGGAATAGGTCTAGACTCTAGACGAGACGGGGTGTTGCGGTAGAAGCCCCATCGAAATCTGGCTTACATACCCTACGTACGTCCAATCTGACCGTTCGGTCCAGTCTCCTGGTCTGACTTACGTCCTTAACTCGTGTTCTATCATGTTTATTATGTTGTCCACGTCCAGTCAAATTGAGGTCATTGACCTGTAGGGATATGCGGTCACCCCATTTGTGGATTGTAAACCTCTTTTCCAGCTTTTCCAGAGTCTACATGTAAACATGACTCAAGCTATGACCTGAAACTAGATGCGGGGATGTAGTTCATGAGTCATGCGCCTAAAGAATCTGGCTTAGGGGCTCGGCAATCCTTGGCTTTCTCATTGTTCTTCGTTTTTCTCATCATTTTCTCATTGCTTTTCTCAAGGGAAACAAGCACACCGAGACCTTAGGTGGAACGGTCCTGTTCGACGTTATATAGGTTCCCTTTTTTTCCACGAACCGTTTACTGTTGGGGTCCGCCCCTGAACTCTGTGGCCAGGCTCTGTGTCCGGGCTCTGTGTCCGGGTCTTGTCCTCCTCTAGACTCTAGTCCTCCTTGTGTCCTGCTGTTGTCCTCTGGCCGTGCTGGCCAACCTGTGTCCTCCTCTTGTCCTCCTCTAGTTTTGTTGTCCTTCATCTTTTCGTCCTCTGTTGTCCTCATGTCCCCCTGCTGTCGTGCTCTTTACCCTGCTTTGCAAGGCAGGGAACAACAATGCTTACCGACTAACCTGTTTGGGGTCTATGCTGGTATACTTCCGAAAGAAAGAGGTGGTCCAACCTTTCGCCAGTTGCATGAGTTGGGTGCGACAAACGGTCTCCCTTTCGCCCGACCTCCTGAGGTGGAGTACCGCCATTCCGAGGATCGTTGCGAGATCCTGGCGCGGCCGACCGTGTCCCGACTTCGATGGGCCACGCCACCCGCGATGGGGCGGAAGAGGAGGGACTTGGGGGTCAAATGGATCGAAGGTCGAAGGAGACGATTCAGTTACAAGTGTCCGAAGGATTTGTCCATATTCAATCCACTAAAGCATGACCCGCTTTCTTTGCGGGGCCGTGGATTTGTCCATATTCTATCCACCTCAGGATGACAATGACTCTCTGCCGGCCAAATTCAATCCAAGACTGCCGAAGTAAACATATGTCATATGTTCCTTTCTTTAAAGGATCATCAAATGGGTATATGGTATGTAATAAAGTGAGTGTGTATTACGAGGTGGACCCTCCAAAACCCCTTGGTCTCATGACTTTGTTTTAATAGACCCCCAAATCTTCTGCTGAACGGTCGTGGACGGCGGACGGTCGTGGTCGATGCAGGTCTGTCAGGTCCGTCAGGTTGTATCGTGGACTCTTCGAAGGCTTTCCGGTGTATGCAGCACTGTATGCATGCCCCAAGCAGGGGAGTTCAAACAATGTTCTGTTGGTTTCCTATGCCAAGCACTGGACTTTCTCGTATTGCGGGCATTGGACATCTTCAGTGCTGATACCTCCCACGTTGGTCGGCTGGCCGTTGGACTGACCCAGCTTGGACCCCCGAAACCTCGGTGGCTTCAGACCGATCCAGCGTGAGCCACGACCAGGGACCACGAACCAGTACTGTGGTTGAGGGAGTGGTTGAGGGGATTCTTGAATTGGAACATTCTAGCGATTCTAGTTCGTTTTTGCTTTTGGATCCAATTCCAACATGTTTGCAGACTTTAAACCACGGTAGATGAAGATCCCTAGGTTTAGATTTCTGAACTGCGACCTGTTTTGTGCAGATGTGCGCGACCGAAGTCCCAGAAGAGTATTGGACAGTAAGCTCGGTTCGCGAAGATCCCACTCCAAATGTTGTTGTCTTTTTTTCCCGTGGCAGTGGATGTCAAAGATTTTCCCGTTCATATGGTTGGTGAATAGTCCATCCTGCCGTACTTCTGTTTGCATGGCTGTGATCAGCATTCCACCGTGAATACCATCAGTCGACACTCCCTGGAATCATCCAGGGACCGTGTGGATGGCATGGCGGCGAGTTCGGAAGACCATACACTCCGAAGACCAAGCAGTTGGTGCCTTCACTTCCACCATGATTCTAGAGAGTGTAGACCTGGAGTCTCCCTTTGTAGACCTCAGAAATTAGTATACATTATACTGTATATTATACTATAAGTTATCATCAACCTGTTTTTTGGATGGGTCATGTCCCATGTCGGGTACAAACACGTACGGGATCTGGAGGGATCGACGGAGGGTCCATCGGCCCAGTGACCAAGGAGTGGTTCATCGACAACACCAAGCACCGAACGGTGGGAGGCGCGGCGGGAGGTTCGGACATCACCGTGTCCAAACATGGCTTGATTCACATGATTTACCATTTAATGTAGACTCTTGAGGAGGGCGGAGCCTCGGCTGTGCACGCGGAGTTTTCCTCGCCTGTACACGCGCATAGATTTACTCGGTTGTGCACGCGCTCCTCGGCTGTGCACCCCGCTTGCTCGGCTGAATGAATGAATGAACGAACGAACGAATGAATGAATGAGTGGATGAATGTCCAGAGGGACGTTATTAACACCCCCCCACCCCCCCCACCCCCCCACCCCCGCATCCCAACCCAATATCATCAATCAAACGCAGAGCATCTGTGTGATGTGGTACTGTGGAAGCAATGAGCAAAAAGAAATCATCATGACTCAATTTGTGTGTGCGCAGGTGAGCGAAATCTGTGTGCGCAGATGAGTTGGAGGCAACATGCACTGTTTAAAGAAGAATGTAATCGATGTGTGCGCAGCTGAGCAAACCCTGTGTGCGCAGGTGAGTTAAATGTATAAAAAAGGGCTGTGTGCGCAGGTGAGCTAAATCTTGTGTGCGCAAGTGAGGCGCCATCCTTTGAGGAGTCTACATTACACTAATTACTCCACTGATTAGGCCTTGAGCCCGAATCGTTGGGACTGGCTAAGACCTACCAACAGTCAAGCATGGGCAGTGGTCGTGGCTTCGTTGCATTCCGGTGGTCCATGTTGGGGATCTGATGGGAATTTGGTCGATCGAGTCACGCCATGGGTACTATCACACCAAGAGTGGGTTGCAAAGTCGGGTGCTATGGTGTACTGCTATGCTTTGCCACTGGGTCACCTTCCATATTGAAACAGGTTGGAGCACAAGCATTGTTGGACACCGCCCAGCTACGGGGTCGCATGGTAAACCACAGGTCAGAGATGCAAAAGGGAATGGACTCACATCCTACCATCGGAGGATTTGCTGTACGTGGGAAAACCCACCAGCAAATTGCTGACGGACCAAGTATCCTGCACCACATCTGTGGAAGTCTTGATCTGATATATGGACAATTGGCTGAATCTGGATGAGTCCTCTGAAATTCAAATTTATATTGTTTATACTCGAGTCGAGTGGAGAAGACTCACATACTCAAATACTCGGCACCCTCGCACGAGCATGCACAAACTTGCACACGCACAGAGCGTGGTACGTCAAGTGTGGTACGTCATCTTCAGTGGAAGGGAACTTGCCCAGGACCCTTGGATTTCGAGTGTTGGCTCTACAAGCCAACTTGCAACCTGGCAGAGCAGTCCGTCCGTCGAAGAAGCAAGTCGATTCGGACCACAGGGGATTCTTTCGAATCCGAGCTTAGCTCCTAAGCTCGGATTCTTCTCCCGGACGGCTTTTAAACAGCTGATATGGTTGGCTCATGACGGGTCGACGACGTTCTTCTCATCTTTCTTCGGATGTCCACGGTTTTTGCACCCCCCCGGTCGTCCGGGGTGGTGTCGGGTGTGCGGGTGTCAGGTGTGCTTGTTGATTGGTGAGTCTTTCCGAACCGGATGAATTCCCCTTCTGGGGAAGATTTGGAACCTCCCAACGATGCAACCAGATTCTGCTGTTTCGAAACAACCAGATGCCACGGAAGATGCGGACGAAGATGGCCGGTCTTTGGGCCGCATGGCTAGACTGCAAATCCCACGTGGCCCTGGCATGGCCCTGGGTTCTGACTTCCACCCTGCTGGATCGGTTTGAGGCGATGTGCTGATCCAGCTGCGTGATCACGGCGCTCAGTCACCGACGTTTGACTGGGCCTGGCGCGTTTGCTTCGGGGAAGATGACGCGGCATAGCGCGGCTGGGGATCGGATTGAGGCCAAGGGATGCCAAGGGTCAAAGATTTGGGTGAAGAAGGTGACCTCCATGTCTTTGGAAGAAGTTTTTGGTGCCTCTTCATGAACTTGTGGCAAACACGACCATTCTTCTGGTACACTCGATCAGAACTGCAGGGAATTGTAAGTTTGTAGAGGGAACCTGTGAAAAGCTGAAAACCTATTTTGTGGTCCATCTCGGGAGTTCCACCATCAAGTTTGTTGAAGCCTTAAAAACATCTTAAAACTGATATATGTGCCACTTCTGGACGATCTGGTCACTGGTCCCAGATGTTTTTTCGGCCGCGACCATCTGCGGGCGCTTTGCCTGGATGGTCAATCGATATCTGTTCCCCCCGCGACCATGAACAGCGACCGCAAATAGAACAGGATGTGTTACCAGCAATGGATCCCGCTGGTTCTGAAGCGTTACTCGCGTGATATCTACTGTTATCTGCCTATCTGGGCCAGAAACGGCAATTTCAGGTTGGTGAACTCTCATGAGTCACCCCGACGGCGGTCAGAATTATGCCGCAAAACACCGCTATTCAATCACCCAGAGTCAATGGAATGAGGCGTCGATCAATCCTCAGCAAAACGCGCGAGTTTTCCGCCAAGTGCGGAGAAATCCGAAGATCGAGGGTCCCCGAGCCAATCAACCTTGGTAAAGACAGAGGTGCATCCTGCATCCTGTAAAAATCAGATACAAAGGGAACAGGACAAATATATAAATGGCCGTGGCTATAGATGCCCAAAATCAAACCGACGGGATTCACTGATGTTGTGTGTATTCTTCCTTGGACTGCTACTCTTGAGTATCATTGATAATTGTACCGTTTGAGTCTACGGTTTGATTTGTCTATGCAAAGAAGACAGACTTGCTGAGATTCCGGGAGCCAGTGTTTTTGAGGATTGGAAGACAATGGAAAGAAAAGCCTGTGAAATTCCTATAATACACAACATTTCTTACAACCCCCAAATCATTTTGCCGAACTCACTCCGCACTGTTTTGTGCCACTCTGAAATGTTCGCCACACTGAAATGCTCACTGAAGCACGTTTGACTGTACCTGGATCATCCTGAATCTGACTTCAAGTACCTTGGAAGAGGCTTAGTGGTGCTGACGGGGTGCCCTGTGCAGGCAGAGGCGTGGGTCGAAGATTCATCCAAGACATGCTTCCACGACCGAAGATGAAGAGACTTCAAGCTTTTGTTGTTCCTTTGCTTGAAATCTTGACCCATACCAATGGTATCTCTTGATATATTTTTTAAAGGATTATAACTAACTAACAAAAGACTCTCCTCTCTAAATAGAGAGGCGGAAGATGTCATTATCAAAATCCTGGGCTGCTGGCTGTTGGATATGATAGATCTCTTCTCCTGGACACGAAAACAGATCTACACAGCGCAGTCTTTTTTTGTTTAGAAGCGTTGGAACATGGATTTGGGCTGAAAAAAGGCGGCCGCCCAGGTTGAACTTAGCCAGGTCGGCCGACGGCGCATCCACCATGGCCAACGTCTGGAGGATGCGAAAGCGGCGCCGGATGGAGAGCCGAGCCTGAGCGGCGTTTTTTATTTTTTTTTCAAGCGAGGAGCCGACCCGGTGGAAGCGACATCCCGGCGGAGTGGAAGGTGGCGGCAAGGCTGAAGAAGTGCTCACATGTGCTCACCCAGAACTTCCAAGGACTCATTTGACTCCATCTGGTAGACATAATCCAGCAGGGATGATGTGGTCTTCTGGAGAGAGAAAAGCTGGATGGCCAAGAACCCCGGCGGATCTGAGGGTCTTCCAACGTCGGTTATCCTTCTTTTTCTATCAGATACATGCATGTTCCAGACATAAGTCAGTGTAAAGCTAACGAACTCGCAGCTCTGCGAGACCCAGCACAGAAGCAAAAACAGCACATGCCATGGTGTTGTATACTATTCCTGGACCCGGCCGTGCTATTCCTACCGGACGCGTTTCAACTCGTCGCGCTCTTTCCTGGACCTGACGACTTGGGGAACCCCATGCGGAAACGCGGAACCCGACTTGCTTCGGTGAGGTGTGTGACCTGTCGGCAGTACATTCATTCTCTTGAGACAAACGATGAACGACGGATTGGCCGCGACCACCTCCCAGTGCTGGGCTTCGAGGTCAGTTTTCCTCAGAAATCTCCTGGATCCGAGGAACCACGGAACGATGGCAGGTCTCATGGGTTTGAACGAACGAAGGAACCAAGACTTCAGAGGAACCGGTGTTGAGCTCTGTGATCCAGCTACCAGGCAGTGCACTGTACACTAGTTCACCAGTACATTCCAAAAGACTTAAGCCGTAGAAACCTACTGGGATCCACTAAAAAATGCGGTGTTTGAGCTCGCACATTGTGCAGACACGAACTTTAAATTTAAAGACCGAAGATGATTGCAGATTGGCTCATTGTGTTGAAGAGTGAACCGTGCACTGGCTTTTAGCATTCTTGCAAGCTACTCTACGCATACAATTTGGTATTCGAGAGTTCTATTAAATTGAATCTCCATTCAGAAAGTCCACCACCATTTGCAGCCACCCAAAGGATCGCAAACAAGCGATCATGTCAGAATCTACTACACTTTGGAGATCCAGTTCCCTGGAAGTCAAAGACAATTTATAATGGTTGACCTGGTTTTGTAGTGTAAAACTCTTAGTAAAACAATGGCGGTTTGATAAACCCTATTAAATCAATGGTGCTTGGAAGCCTAGGGAAAAAGCTTGGAGCCAGTTCTTCAAGCTACCTCTTGCTATACGCTATAAACTGGATAGTTTGTTGGTTGCCTCGTGAGCCGTGAACTGCGCGATTCTGGAGTGAAACACTTCGTGGGCAGATCGGCACTGCGTGTAGCTCGGAGAGCACATGGAGAAGATGTGCGGCGCGCGCGCGTGGAGGATGCGACTGTGGATCAGGATCCCAGGGTGTTTTATAGACCCCCCTCCTACCATGTGTTGACCATCCTAGAAGCATCTGAAATGAGTGGTGCTTGTTCACCCCCCCCCTTCTAGTCACATGGAAGAGGAACATTTCTTCGTCCCATCGGTGCTAACCATGTGTATCCCAACGTCGGCCTCGCACCCCGTTCAACGACGCCTCGCGAAGCCGCGACGCCTCGTTCTCCGTTCGGTCGGCCTCGTTCCGCCAGTTTGTTGGACTGCGGGTTGACCGATGAGCTGGGGATCCCGATGGATCCCGGTGGATCGCGTCCGCAGGGTACGTTTCGGGAGAAGAGCGAGGATTCTGGGAAGGTTCTTTTTTTCTATACTGGTCTGACTCGTGCAACTGGAAACACCAGGAAATTATATGGATTATTTATATTTATTATGATTATTTTATATATAGGAAATGGATGACCACCTCAACACTTAACATTACTTAAATCCATAATATTCCATCATATTCTAGTCCCATGGAGTGTCTGGGTATGTTTGGGTTCTCCTTCCATACATGGAGTTGCGAGTTCATGAGTCCGTGCAGCTTGTGTGAGTCGATTCGACCGTGTGTGCAGCGTGTTCAGATGTTGAGAGGACTTGCCTTTAACATCCCGCTTCGCGCGGGATGTTGCTGTCTATTTTACTAGACAGATCCCTTAGGTGGGTGTCGTACATCCCAGACACTCCATGTCCAGCCCCCAGACCTTCGGTGAAAAGAACTAGTGCACCCAGCGCGCCAGTGCGCGCCAGGGGGTTCTCCCTAGAAAACATGCAAAGCCGTTGTGAATAGAGTTCTTGCCATCAAGAGTAGAATGGATGTGAATGGAAAGCAATCTCCAAGTTTAAGGACTTTTCCAGACCACAGAGGAGTTCTGGCATCAATTCTGTAGAAATGTTTCATCACAACAATGGCAGACAGTTATACAGTTGAATGAACATGACAGGACATCAGTGCTGCATTATCTGATCATCTGATCCTCTCTTCTCTACCATTGCTTTGAAGCACTTGTGGTTGCTCCTCGATCGATTTTGCTGATCACTGAGAGGTATCCCTCCGCTGAGGATTCGTTGTTGAGCTTTTCTTTTTGTCAAATATACTGTAGCTGAAATCTTAAATGCAAGATAAACCATTCCCAAATGATGTAAAACTCTGGTATGCCAAAGATTCAGCATGTACAAACTATATACCCGAGTTCTGCCTTCAACTTGACTTTTTCCCACCAGCAAATCATAAACCCTCAAAACAAACCGACTAACAAGACACTGCGGAGAATTCATGGAAATTCTGCAAACAGAAAAAACAACATGTCCGCACATTTTGAACCAAATCGCACGTCTTCCGACCCCCCCCCAAGCAAAAGAAATACAAAAATACCAGATCGATCGGATTGACACCTCGAGCGACACATTGGCTGTCGGCCCCCGAGGTCCACGGTCTTCGTGTCCTTGGAGCTTCAAGGCGCGCTGCGCTGGTCTTCGGATGGAGCCGAGGTGTTCAAAAACGGTGAGGTTTGCACGCACTGAGTTGGACGCACTGCCCGGGCCGATCTCTTTGTTTTCGATGTTTTTTTTTTCCATTTTTTTTTTCAAGAGCCGAAGGAAGTTTATTTTTTTTCCAAGAGCTGAAGGGAAGGGTGTTTCCACTGTTGTATATATGTTTGTTTGTACCGTGCGTGTTTGTTCTCTTTCATTTCTGTGTCAGCCGCGTTTCGTTGGATCGTTGGAACCAGGTCTACCACGGAAAACGGTGTGACCGTGGGATCGTTGGGCGGTTCTGGGGTACCGCACGGGATGGTTTCAATTGTCAGGATACGCCAGGGATCCCAAGGGATCCTCACATGGGGCGTACTTGGCTGGGCATTGAAACGAAAAATAGGCAGTCTGACTGCTGCGATCTTTGGAGATCAGCAATGGACAACTCAAGAGTGGGAACACGTCATATCCCTCTGCCATTGAAAGACTCCGAACACTTCTTGCAAACAGGGTGTTTTCCACCAGACCGTGGGAGTGTTTGAAGGAGCGTTTTGGAGGAACATCACTGCTGTAGACCTTGCTACTCATTCTGAGATACACCTCCACGAGAGACGGTGTGTCCAATCAATGAAGAATTTGGAACCAACCACTGACGGAGTGCTGTGCTGATTCAGAGTTGGGGTCATGTTCCATGCATGTTGGGCCCATCAAATGCCCATCGTGAACCACGCGCTATGCGGCGCGTGGTGCACCCGATGCGTGTGCCGGTACGGTCCGACGTGATGGAAGCGCCAGGTGGTGGCAAGAAACGAAAGAAGAAGACGTGCGCAGAATCTGCGGACGAAGCCGGGACGAAGCCGGGACGAACCAGGAGGTCTGGGTGATGGTTCGTCATGGATAAACCTGACACGTCAGCAAAGCATGTATTGTTCTTTTTTTTCCCCGAGTACTTGTCGCCATTGTTTTCTGGGATCCACCTTAGATTATTTAATCATATTTGAGTTCCTCAGAGTTGGGTGGATGTGATATGGGCAATCAGGTGTGGCTCACCACATGGAAGGTCACTTTAAATTTCTGTGAAAGGTCACATCAGCTGCGGTCATGCTCCTGAGTAGAGGACATGCATATGTGGCTGACCTCTATCGGACACTGAGGAAAGTGACCATGGAAGCGTGTTTCTATCTATGTATTGCAGGGGGTCATTCCCTGATCCCATCCCTGATCCCATGCAGTCAATGGGTGTTCTGGGATTTTCGCTTTCACTTCGGGGCATCCCCGGCAGCCGTTCGGCTGTTCCGCCTGGCCGAGGACCTCGGCCTCCGTCTCCGTCGGGAGTCGGACACGTGGTGCCCAGTCCGAGTCGCCAGGTACACCAAGCCCAAGAAGATCAAGCACAAGCGCAAGAAGGCTGGCATGGGACGTGTTTCCCTTTTTTTCTTTTCGAAGATCAAGGAGAAAAGCTGGGGCATGGAGAGGTCCAAAGTGTAGCATATTCACGTTTTTTTTGGGGATATTGATTCCAGCAGAGGTTGAAGAACCCTATAGACTATCCTACGGTATAACCCCAGTAGGGTCCCATACTTAATAAGGTCACTCAACCTCTGTTGATTCCTGTCAATCATCGTACTTGTCACAGTTCTACCCCAAACAACGAACAGTACAATTCGGCACCCTTGGTCGTTGGTGGTTTCAAATTCTGGTCTACCGAGTCTACCGAATGGAACCGTATGTTTCAGGTTCCTGAAATATCAATGTCTCTGAGACCAGATGTTCTTTTTTCATGTGCCACGCGCTTCAAAAACAGTGAGATACATAGGGGTCTCGGTCTCGATTCATCAAATTTATTTTGGGGCACCGAAGCATCATCCCATTCCTCGAGAGTATAACATATATATGATCATATATTATGTGTTTCAGAAGTTCGATGGCACGATGTCTTAGACAGATGGGGCCCATCTAAACCACCTAACTTGGGATAACTTGTGCCATCGACCCTCTGATGGTCCACTGTACTCTCAGAGTCCAAATCGGTGAGGTAGCAACATGCAACTGGATCGAATTCCATGGATGGTAGCCCTGCTAAGTGACTGCGGCTGACTCAAGAGGGTTACTCCGAAATCCAAGCAGTGGCTTTTCAGCATCTCACCAGAGGTCAAGCTTGCAGTCTTGAAGTTCTACAAGGTGGACTCCAACGACAAGGTGCGCGCAAGAATCATGCACATCGTGAAAAGCGCGTTTTCTTCGCGCATCCAACTTCGCATCCGACTTGAATGGTTCAAGAATAGTTAAACTGTACAGAAAAGACATCCCCTGGAAAAGCAGAGTAAACACGGATTGATCTTCACGCCTTTTTTTCAACCTGCTCAGGTGACTCGCTTGCGCCGCGAGTGCCCGGACGAGCGCTGTGGGTGGGGGTTGCCAGGGGGTCGCCCAGCAAACCGGGATTGCTGGGCCGTTCGGACTGGGATTGGAGGATTGGAGCAGGCGAAAAGGTCGGTTTTTTCAGTCATGGCCCATGGCAAATCATGGCAAATCTATGGTTTGGGGTCGGGCCCCCCCCGAGTTTGTTCATAATTCAAGGAGGTTCCAGAGGCTATCTCCACTATCCCCAGGAGGGTCCCTCGATCGCCAGAGATTTTCTCCCTCAGTCATTTGACAGAGTCAGATTGCTTGAGAACATGAGATCCTTGAAGTGGTGGAGATGACGAGATTGATTCTGAAGCAATACTCGTAACCCGAGTGAAGGGTCTCTTGCGTTTTGTCCCTGGAGTTGATAAGGGGCACCCCTATCCCCCATTGAACAATCCTCTTACCATCTTCCAGCCAACCGAACAACCGAACCCCATGCAACCGAACCGGCGAGGCCTGGAGTCTTTATGGCGATGCACTTCAATCGCTACTACTGCGGCCTTTCGGACGAAGCACACGAACGACCGAACGAAGGGTTACAGTAGCAAGTTCAGAAAACACCGACTTGTGATGAGGAGATATGAGGAGTACGCCAAGTGGCTTACTAGCTAGCTAGCTGGTGCGCATGCACCAGCAGTGCTTGTTACAGCATCATTTAGCTACTCCAAGAATGCATCATCGGCGCATTAGCCCTCGGCTGCCAAGCGAAGTTCCTGGGCCGCGACGCTCGCTTCGCGTGTTGGGACCTCGAAGTGTGCGAACGCACGGCCAAGGTAGGTGCCACCTCACCTATTTGATCAAGAAAGACGGCTAGGTCCAGGTGCCTGTTTTTGGGGAGCTCGCAAAGCCGCCCGCAAAACCGCTCGCATGTCATTTTTTGCCACATAGCGCGCTGTGTGCTGTGTGGTTGTTGGATGTTTCGAGTATTTGCGTGCTGATGACAGTGTCTCATTTAGGAGGAGTCTTCGGAAGGAGGCTAGGTCAGGTTGGTTTGGTAATTTTGACAACGCCATTAAAACCTTGAAACATGTTTCTCCAAGCAAAGGCTTCCTACAAAAAGGATTGGGTTAGCGGCGGTTTCCATACTACGCTACTTTGTTACCATGATTACCAGCTAGTTGCTCTGTTTCTCAAACATACGACAGGCGGAATTATTCCGTATACAAGACTTACATATATAACGTGTTCATCGGGTATCACTCGAGCGAAGGGGTGCTTGGGCAAACACACTCAATTTGGCAAGTCAACTGGCAGTGATGGCTATACATGGCACGACAAAAGAAAACATGCCGGCCGTTCTTAATGAGGCATACATCCTTGCGCACAGCCCACAGGTCTTTGGCACGAGGGTCCCAGGGTCCAATCAAGCGCGCCACTCTGCGTTGGACGACCTCAGGCTAGACCAGCAAGTGCAATTAGTCAACCACAGCAGCCACTAAGGCCATTTTGTTTGAGGGTTGTTTCCATGCCTCGTTCGAGTCTGATTGCGCCCAACTTCCTGCAAAGTTCATATTCATGCACTCTCCATCTTATACTCCCAGGCTGACTCCCAGGCTCATGTCACCGCCAAGAAAGGATGCTTCTTACCTGCCAATCCAAACCATGTCGTTTCTTTTTTCCCCCAAGCTGATGCCATAATATGGAAGCGAACCTAAGCAATCCACAGGAAATAAACGCGCTGAAACCAGGTGAAACATGGTGAAACCATGTTCTTGACATGGCTGCCCAATCCCAGCGTCCACCACCTTCTGTCGTATTCTGAACTGGTGAAGTTGCCACCAAAAGCGATGGACATCAACCCAATTCCATTGTTTTGCTCATTAAACACATGACATAAAGGCTCCCACTTCCTCTTCCTCTTGTATAGACATGATACAAGATACAATACATTAATGCATTTAAAACACGCATGCTCTTCATTGCCATGGCTTAAGTATATTGATTCAAGGGGGTGTTTCAACCTCCCAAAAAAGACATCCCTTCGTTCCGCTGCGTCACGTTCCGCGGCCTCGCCAGGCGTTTTGGGACCCCTGAACGGTTACAGCGAAAAGACTTCGTGTCGACCCTCGTCGGAGAGCGAAAAGAAGTCCACACGAGCTACATTGACCTATCAGTGACGCCGGGAAGGTGGCATATAATTTTAACTTAATTTTATCTTAATTCTAATAGCTTCTTTGTTACTACTAGTAAGGCACTTGTTACTAGTAGCGTGGCACTTGTTACTAGTAGAAACAATAAGACCCAAGTGACCTTTAAACCATCATCTCCACCAAAAGAATCCACGTCCTTCCCCCGCAAACTGTGATGAACCCTGAGAGAGTTTTTCATGCTTTCGACCATGTTCCTCGACCACCCAGTGGTTTTTGGGGGTTCGATGTTGGTCCTCTCCAAGGGAGATGCCGGGGCATAGGGATGCCGCTCCAGCGCTTGATAGAATCACCTACCTCGGTCGGTCGTTGCTGCAGCCCTGAAACAGACCTGCCAGAACTTTGGGGGTCGATGGACTGTTCATCTACTGTATAAACCTTGGGAGTTCAGTCGAATATAAAAAGAATGGTCTTTAGGTGACCCATGTTCAGGAATTTCGATCCACATAGAGTCAAACTGGACTTCTATAGGGCAAATATTGGTTGCCCAGACACTTCATGTATGGCATATTTACCTACATTCACCCCGGGTCACCTACCCAAATGCATGTATATAAATATCAACGTCATATTCCTGTCCCATGGAGTGTTCTGGTGACCTTCCCAGATTGCATTTGGATCTTGAGAAGTGGCCTTCAACCGTCTTTCTTCTCGCCGAACGACAGGCAGTATCACGACCTGGTGAGTCGCCACGGCCATCAGGGTGGTGCAAGTAACAAGGGCATCCCTAGTAGTAACAAGGGCATTACTACTTGGTCTAGTAGCAAATAGCTACTAGTAGCGTCCGATCTCTCCGTTCGTAGCGATGCCCTTTGTTACTATAGTAGCGTCTTGTTCCTAGTAAGGCCAGGAGCGCCCCTAGTAGCCTCCTTGCTACTAGGTGCCGACACCGTGGCGACGAGTGCAGAACGTACGAATTCACCGTGCCGCTGTTTGCCATGGAATGGACGAAAGAAACACACTTTCCCTCTTTGGGTCGGTATTTTTGTTGGGTCGGTATCTCATGTTGTTGTGTGGTTGCGTGTGGTTGTGAGTTCTCCATATGCTTTTGTTCCCGAAATATCTGTCTTTTTGGCAGAATTCTCTTCAACCCTGGGTGCTCAAGAGTGTCCGTCGTTTGCTTGATAGCTTTGCGGTTGACACCTCGGGTTGAGACGGATCCGACCCATCCATTTCGACCGCACGCGTCAGAGTCTGCAGCCGATGGGCTTTCAGGTTCCGTCACCCGTTTCGGCGCGGCATGTGTGAAAGCACCAGACTGGCCACGTTTCAGCACCTCAGTGAAGGTCATTTGGATATAGGATTCCTGCAGACCTGGTGGACCCCCAAACGGTCCGACAGGGTCAGGAGGGAAAGGTCAGTTCGACACCAAAGATGTGGAGGAGTAGTGTGGTTTTTCGTGTCAACGATCGGAGCATGATCCCTATCCCTACAACTCCAGTCGTACCTCCTCAGAAGGTATGACTGGACCCTCCAAACCCACACCAAACACCTGAGAAGGTACTTGGAGCCCTAGGGTATCTGATTGGGCCAAGGTATTTGAGACCCTCGTGACACTTTTGATCCAGAAATACTCCTGACTCCTGACTCACATAGAGCACGTGGGAGGACTGTGAGTCGGCATAACGGGGTGTTTGTGGGATTCGCCTTGCCTTGAATGTCAGTTCAGACAGTTCAGACGTCAGCTGTGTGGCGAAGCAACTCGCCGTCCGCAGCAATCGCTCTCATGCCATGCGAATCGCTGTCCGCAGCAGGCAGGGTTTTTGCTCGGAGAGTTCTAGGTTTGAGACGCCAAGCTAGCATAGCTGTTGCTTGGAACATCTTGGAAAAGGAAGAGCATCTTCCAAAGCCTTTTGAGGAAGGTTCTTCGGAAGCAATGACTCATGCTTAAAGCCCAGCTGGTAGATTTCCAGAACCCCTTGCTTGTTTTGGGCCTTGAGCGTTTCATTCAGATGGTGGTTTGGAGGGCACAAGGTGCTTGAGCAGTGTCCACCTCTTCCCTCATCAACGAGGAGCCGTCAATGGGGACTAAACCCTGCCCAGGAAAAGTGGATAAGCATGGATAACCTCGATCTCTTTGGCAAAATTAGTTTCCTCCAGTCCTCCAGGTTTTCATTTTGGGATCGAAGGTTTAGTCCGAAACGGTCCGACCGCTAAGGATCCGGATCTCATGGCCACCGGGAGTCCATTCTCTTCTTCCCTTTGGCCCCTGGGCTTCAAACTCCCTGTGGCTCGAGAACCACCCCAAAGGTCGGGCCCGGATCCGACACGAGTGACCGTTTTCATGACTTCGCTTGTGACCGCTCTCACGACCTGCGTCAACGCGCAAGGTACACCAACATCAATGGTGGCTACGAGGACGCGCAGACGCGGTGGAGAGGGGCGTTTGGGGTCGGATTTGGGGTCGGATTAGGCAGGTTTGTTTTGGGCACAGACCCCCTGGCAACCCACCCACCCCAGTCCCATCTTCTCCATAAGAGGTCGACCCGCCCTTGTCAGCCCAGCGGGTTGGGCGTGTATGAATAGGGAGACGGAGACGAGGCGTTCGGGACCCCAGAAACATCCAACATCCATTCTGGTACGCATTGGGAAATAGACCGACATGTTCACAAATGACATCCAATGACCCCTGCACCTCACGATCCCCCATCGGAAGACTAGAGTGACTAGAGTTTCCCCAGAAACTGGTGGTTTTCAGGTTCCATGTGGGTTTCTTCCAGGCTACAGTCAGAAGAACTAGTGGAGATCCCCATTTGGGGCGCTTTTTGCTGCGGTTCCGACGTGCCCAGAGTTCTGGGTCCCACAAGCTCAGCCACGCGAAGCGCGACGAGAGGAGTCGACTTGGATCGAGTGGCTTCCCCAGTGGATCCTAGTAACCACCAGAATCATCCAGAATTCACTAATTGTGGACTCTTGATTGATACTCCCCATATATATGAAGAGGATTGAATAGGTTGTTCACTCCTAATGGGGTTGGGTTTATTCATGAAGAGTCTAAGGAGCCAGGGGCCCTCGTTCGGTCTATGCTTTGCTCCTCGTCGAACTGGAACCACCGTACCGCGACGGCAAGCCCCAGCGAAGCCTTCGTGGAAACTGCCTGGATCCACTGGGTATACCGGCCCAAACCATCCCGCTGGACACCAGTGAATCCAACGACCGTTCAGAGAATCCAAGCGAAAAGGCTCAATTTGTATCAATTGGTCAATGTTTGATGAATATGACATATGATGAATCCCAAACAGGTTTGTTAGTGAGTGGGCAATATCAGGATTTGTATTGTTACATTGTATATTCATCATGGTATATAGCTCGCATCACTTGGAGCACTCTTGGTCACTTGTGGGTACCTACTCAACATCCGAGTGCTCACCTAAATGCAGGCCCTGCACAAATGTGGCTCCGGACTGCAGTCCCTTGGCCCACTGCAGTCCCTATCTACTGATTCTTTGGCGTTTTGTAGTCTAGAATCCTGCACCGCGGTTGCTTGGTCGAACACCAGTTAAAGTATATTATGTGCAGTGTGAACACTGTGTGCCAGAGTCCGTGAACCGACTCAGTCAAGAGTGGATCAAAGCGAAGAAAACAATTGGGCGTTGAAGGATTGCCGTGCCATCCCAACTTGCCCGCGTTAGCTAGAAGCTCTTGTGATTTGAGCACCTGTAAGCTGTTCCACCGCTTACATGGTAGCGGAGCCCTGAGTGGCATCCGAAGAGATTTTCGATCCTAGCTCTAGGTGCAAGTAGCCCCTTTGAGCCATGGCGGTGATAGAAAGAAATCGAGAAGGAGTTCCTCAATGGGATGGTTCAGCAAGCACCTTCCAGGAGTACAGCGAGCTGGCTGAACACTGGGAACAAACGGTACCGTATCACAAGCGGTACCTATGCGGCCCCAAGCTGTTGAATGAACTGTCAGGCACTGCTCGACGTTTCGTGCTCTCGCAACGACCTGGCTGGGTATCGCACGATGGTGGAGTCCAGACCTTGCTTCTCCACCTTCGCAAGCACCTTGGTTTGCCGCAGCTGTCCGAGATGAGCGAATACATGTCAAAGTATTTCAAACAGAGCCGTCGCAAGAGAAACGAGTCGATGAACGACTACATCACCCGGAAGGCTGAACTCTACAGCCGCACTGAACAGACCCTGCAGCGTGCTCAGGAATACTATGAACCGATCTCTCGCTCCTCATCGGTGGCAGCACCCTCATCTCGATTGGAGGAGATCCCTGAAGCCTATGAGTTTCATGATGCCCAAGAAGCACACACTGAGTCAGCAAGTTCAGGCCCGCAAGACAATGCAGCCGGAGATCCAGGGCAACACACTCCGACATCGGGCCAGACAGACCCATGGGCACAGTGGCACCAGCAGAACTGGCATTCCGGGGGTTGGAACAACCAGGACTGGTGGAGCCGATCTCATTGGCCACAGGGCTCTTCTGTGGGAACTCCCACAGGTGCAAAGGCAAGGGTGCAGCTCTTGCCGGACTTTGTACAAGGCTGGTTCCTTCTCCAAGACGCCAACCTGGAGACGAGTGAAAAGAACATGATTTTGGCATGTCTGAAAGGGGATTACAGTACAGCCAAAGTCTCACAAGAGCTACGGAACCAGTGGAATGATGACGATCTTCGTCGTCATGACCAGACCGGACGAGCCACAGCATGGACCGTGGATGACCTTGGAGGTGATCCTTTTTCTGAGGACATGGAGAGTCCCGACCTCAGCTTCCTGTCCACCTCGGGCCTCAACTATGAAGGTCAGGCCTTGATGAACGAGGCCGAAGAAGAAGCTCAGGAGGCCCTGGCTATGTTGGAACGGGGTCGACGAACGCTCCGAGAAGCTCGTGCCAAACAACACTTCGTCAAGCTCAGCCGGCAGTACTATGGTACACCTCAACGGCCAAAGCCAAATGCATTCATGAAGAAAGAGGGCATCTCAGGCCCATCCGGCCATTCTGCCAAGTGTCTTGGATGCGGTGGAGCTCACCGCACAGAGGACTGTCCAAAGAAATCGAAGAGTTTCAATGTGGATCAGTCATCTCAGCAGGAAGCCCCGTTCATCTGCCTCACTGACCAGGTCTTTGCAGCGGATGGGTCTGGGCTCAACAAGATCTCAACGAGCCAAGCCATGGAACAAGGAAAAGCAGTCATCGACGGGGGTGCCACACGGACATTGGGGTCCGTCAAGGCGGTCGAGACTCTGATGGCCTTGAACCAGGGCAACACTGGCTCCGATGGCTTAGCGAAGCTGGACACCGAGCAGAGGCCCACCTTTGGGTTTGGGAATTCCTCCCGCAACCAGTGCTTGTCAACGGCATGGATGCGGATCCAGGCCGAGGGAAAACCCGGCGAGTTGAAGATTCATACCTTGGATCAGGGCACTGGCCCGATCCTTTTTTCCATAGAGACGTTGCGATCCTTAGGTGCTTTGATAGACTTTGAGAACGATTTGGTGGTGTTTCGCCATTTGAGTAAGGATCGCATCATTCAGCTCGAGCAATCCAGCTCGGGTCACCAACTTCTCCCGCTCACTCAGGATTGGTATGGACACTCTTTTCAAGCGAAGTCGTCCGTGCCCAGTTTGAAGGACTTCATTTAGGGACAACTCCTCCCTGATTCGTCTTCTGCCGAAGAAAGGGAGGTCAATTGTAGTGCAGAAGTGAGCGATCAGTTGAGATGTGAACAGCATGAACCTAGTGATAGTAATTGTCATTCGTATTCGTGTCAAGGTGTGTGTTCGGGTGAAACTGAGGAAACACATAGGCCACCAATTGACACACATCCCTCTCACTTGCAATCACAGTCAACTCCACAGAACATGACAACCACACAGACACATGCGGCAGCTGCATCAGCTCGAGAGGTTACACTTTGTCGTGATCCGCCTCCGCCTCAACCTGTGAGTCACCATGCCCGCTGTGAAGAAGGCCGACCTCATTGGGGCCATGGAAGCTCTGGGAGAGACACCTCCCAAGTCCTGGACGGTCACCGAGATCGAATGCCGACTTCAAGAACTCCGGAAGGAGAAGGGCATCCCCGAGATGGCTCAGCGCAAGAACAAGACACCCTTGCGCCAGATGATGGTGGACTTGAACACAGCTGGCCGCAAGAAGGAAAACCTCATCAAACACATGCAGGAGGTGCTCCATGTTCCCCTGACGGGGACAGAAACGATCAAGGTCATGATGGCCAAGGGGGTTCAGGCCGTGTACGATCAGGCCGAAGCCTCTCCCCAGGATCCTGTGGGGTTCGGAAAACATTCCAGCCTGAGCTACGAGGAGGTCTACCAGAAGCATGTGACCTACTGCACATGGGTGACCACCACGGCGGGCGAGGACAACGACTGTTGCCCACGCCTGGTGAGACTGGCCAACTGGTTGGAGGGACGTCAATTTCTCGACCAGAGCCTTCGCAACCAGGGATTGGCAACACATGCCAGGGCAGCAGCCTCATCCGAGCCACCACAGGGCTACAAGCCGACAACCAGCGGGCCCATGACCGGGATCTTGGACACATCCTCCATCTCCGAAGGCAAGAAACCAGAATCCGACCCGGAGACCAAGGAGCTCCTTCAGATGCTGGCCCAATCCGTGATCACCCTGAAGGAGGAAGTCCAGGATCTCAAGATGGAACGGCCTCGCAAAGAGGCCAAGGCGAAGAGCCAAGCGGCACCGTCGGATGCCGGCAGCTTCGAGCTGATGCCGCAATGAGTGTGGACCCTAGCGCTGCCCTTAGAACCTTAGATTCTCCAGCAGATCGACTCGGACAGTCGACACTCGGATTGGAAGGGAATCCCTCTAAAGTGAAAAAGGTCACCCCTGGTGTTTCTAGGTCTCTGAAGCAGGACACGGAAAGAATGGCCACGGAGGCCTTCCAATCGTTGGTTCTTCAGGATAGGGTAGTGCTTTTGGAGGTCGCCTGCAGCCAAGACAGCATCCTCACTAAAACGATGCAAACTATGACTGGGCAGGAAAAATCAGCTCGCCGCCTGTCGATCTGGAATCACTTTGATTTGAGCACCAACAATGGGGTTCGTTCCATCCTTGACATCATTGATGTTGAAAAACCCAACCATGTTTGGATCTCCACTGAGTGTGGCCCCTATTCCATCATGCAAAACGTGAATCAAAGAAACCCCGACCAATGTGCCACCCTCGAGTCGAAACGCAAAGAGGTCTTGAAACAATATGTCGGTGGCATGATCGTGTACGTGTATTGCATCCAAAAGGGCATACATGCTACCTGGGAGTGGTCACAATCCTGTCAGGCCTGGCGCCTGCCATTGCTTCAGCAGGTGGTGCGAAAGTATCAGGTCTACTTTTCGATCGTCAGGGGGTGTCAGGTGGGTCTGAAAGATAAAAAGGGTAACCCTGTCTCTAAAGGATGGAAGCTGATGACGACCCATGAATTGTTGGCTCAGCGCATGCACCTTCCATGTTCATGTGTCAAGGACATTAGGCATGTTCCATGTGAAGGACACTTGACGAAACAATCCGCGTACTACACCTCTCCTTTTGCCAAACGTGTTTGTAGTACTATTTTGCAGGGTGTGACTGACACGCAGTTGAAACGCGACTTGCATGGACACTTCATGGAGGGAGACCTGTTCGGAAAAGGAACCTTTTGTGTTTGTGAAGAACATCGAAAGCATGAAACATGTTTGACCTGTGGAAACTGCAGTCCTCCCCTTTTTGAAGTGATGGCCAACGAAGAGGAGGATCCTGGACCATGCAACATGGACACCGAGACGATTCGACGAAAACTGTACCTTCTGCATGCCTCCACGGGCCACAGTCCCATAAAGTATTTGATACAATCTTTGAAACGCATGGGAGTGCATCCCGCCATTTTGGCAGAAGCGGAACGCTTCAAATGCTCGGTGTGCCAGGAACGGTCACGACCCCAGCCCAGAAACGTGGCTGCCTTAGAGCCTCAGCCCGCAAAGTTCAGTACCGTCTCTGCTGATATGGGACATTTCATACACCCTGTTAGCGGGGAACACATGCAGTTCGTCATGTTGGTTGATGAGGGGTCGCGGTTCCGGGTTTCCCGAATCGGGGTTCGGGGGAAGAAACAACACGCGTCGGCAGCGCAGTTCATTAGTGTTTTCAAAGAAGCCTGGATCTCTTATTTCGGATGTCCGTTGACTCTGAGAGTCGATCCAGACGGAAGTTTTCGAAGCCATGGACTGTCAGAGTTCTGCGATAGACACCATATCCTGTTGGACATCATCCCAGGTGAGGGACATTGGAAGTTGGGTGTTTGTGAACGAAGCATCCAAGCGGTTAAAGATATCATGAACAAAGTTGTTTTGGATTTTCCCGATGACCCCCTTGAAGACGTCCTCTCAGAGAGTATTCGTGTGCTCAACAACCGGGAGGTCGTTCGAGGATACTCGCCTATACAACATGTGATGGGCCGGGCCCCAGATGACACCGGACGTTTCTTCGAAGTGCACGGTAACCCAGCACCGGAGTTGATGTCGGTACATCCCCATGAAGAGTTCCGTACAACCTCTCGCCTGCGTTTGGCCGCGGAAAAGGCATTCCTAGATTGGAATAACAGTCAACGATTGCAGAGAGCGGCCAATTCTCGACATCGTCGTCTTCTTAAGTTTACGGCTGGAGACCTTGTTTTCATCTGGCGACGTCAGGTGACAGGCAAGGATGCACAACCAGTTAAGAGCACAACAGGAAAGTTTGTTGGACCAGCTCGCATTTTGGCCACAGAGTCACGCCGAGATGCCGATGGACAGTTGATACAGGGCTCAGCCGTATGGTTAGTCCGTGGACGACGACTCTTGAAGTGCTGTCCGGAACAGCTGCGGCACGCATCAGAGCGTGAACAAATCATTGATGAATTGCACTCCGAGACATCGCAACCGTGGACATTCCCGCAGGTAGCAGAAGAATTGGGAGGTAATGACTATGAGGATTGGAGTGAACAACCCGATGAAACAGAGTGGCATCGTGCAGCTGACCCACAGCATGAGTGGCAGCCTACCGTACGACAGCATGGCAAGCGATCATGCCCACCCACAGTCGAGGTAGACGTTTGTCCAGAGGGATCAGCCAGCAGTCGCCTAAGACGAAGTGCTGACTTCCGTGAACAAGAAGACACAAGAGAAGATCCAGAACGAGGTCGATCTCGCAGTCGAAATAGGGATAGTGAGGCAGGGCCTCAACCACCCATTGGGTTCGTGCAGGGACCATCATGGGCCGACAATCTTCCAGACCATGCTTTCCAGGCAACAGAGGAACCATATACATTCTGGACTCAACCAGGTGCAGCAGTGGAAGTGAGTGTAGACATGCCACAGACCCGTGGCCCATCAGATCGGGCCGTGAGGGATTTACAAGCATACTTGGCAAACGCTTTCAAAAAGAGGGCGGTTGAAGTGTCAGAGAAACGCATGACCCCAGAAGAGAAAGCATCCTTCGACAAGGCGAAGTCAGTTGAGGTCAACAACTTCATAGCAGCTAAGGCCTTCGAGGCCTTGCCAGAATCCCACAGAGTTCGACGAGAGGATGCCATCCGAATGCGTTGGATCTTGACTTGGAAGACATTGCCAGACGGCGGCCACAAGGCCAAGGCAAGAGCAGTCCTGTTAGGATACATGGATTCTGAATACGAGGGTCGAGCCACTACATCTCCAACCACCACGAGACAGACTCGTCAGATCCAGTTGACCATCGCAGCAGCAAAGGGCTTTAAGACTTGGAAGGGAGACGTCACAGGAGCTTTTCTTCAGTCTCGCACATACCCAGACCATCTATACTGCATTCCATGTCCCGAGATTCTGGACGCCATGGGGCTTCCTCGTGAAACAATCACACGGGTTCGAAAGGCGTGTTACGGATTGGTTGATGCCCCGCTGGAGTGGTATAGGTCGGTTTCAGAGTTCTTCCAGGAGCACAACCTACGCCGTTGTTGGTCTGATCCTTGTTGCTGGACCTTTCAGGTGGCTGGACAACTCAAGGGCTTGATTTCAGGACATGTTGATGACTTTGTTTTCTCAGGAGATGAGACTTGCAAGGAATGGCAACAGTTGCTGACTACAATCAAGCAGAAGTACAAATGGTCGGATTGGGAAACAGGTTCTTTTGTTCAATGCGGAGTGAAGGTTGAATGCGCAGCTGACGGAACCTATGCCCTGTCACAAGAAACCTACATTGATGACTTAAAGTACATCAACATCCGAGCTCACCGAAAGAAAGACAAACATGGAGAGACCGACGAAATTGAAAAAGGGCAACTCAGAGCGCTTCTGGGAGGGGTAAGTTGGCTGGCGCAACAGACCGCGCCTCATTTCTCTGCTGAAACCGGACTTTTACTGTCCGAAGTAAGTAAGAGTACCATTGAAACTCTTCAGCGAGCTAACAAGCTCATGCACGAGGTGAAATCCATGAGGGACCACAAGCTTCTCATTCCCAAAATCGATTTGGAAAACTTTGGCCTTTTTGTGTGGTGCGATGCATCCAATCAGAACCGCATCGACGGCAGCAGCACTCAGGGTTACATCATCGGAGCAGCCAATTTGAGTTTGTTGAAGGGTGAATGTGAGTTCGTGTCGCCACTTGCGTGGAATTCTTCCAAGATCCAGAGGGTCTGTAGGAGTCCAGGTGCTAGTGAGGCAGCAGCCGCTGTCAACTCGGAAGATGCCTTGTTCTTTTCCCGATTTCAATTTGGAGAAATGCTTGGACGACCCTTTAGTATTCGAGGGGTGAATGACTTGGTGAACACCGTGGTAGGTGGTCTAGTGACGGATAGCCGAAACGTGTTCGATAAACTGTCCACTGAGGTAATCTGTACCCGAGGTACGGAGAGAAGGGTCGACATTGAGTTGATGGGATTGAAGCACGCTCAGCTAAGGAATAACCTGGTGGTGCGCTGGGTCCACAGCGATGCGCAGCTGAGCAATTCTTTGACCAAGAATGAGCAGCGCCAGCTACAACTATGGTACCGCATGCACCAGCGATGGAGGATAGTCCAGGATGACACCATGGCATCGGCCAAGCGCCGTCGAGAGCTCCAGAAGGAACCTCTGGAGAACAACCTACAGACCTCCACTTCACAAGCCACATCCAACACACAACACAACACACAGGACAACAACTAGGCCTCCGACCTTCCTCTTGGTTTTCGTGTCTTTCTTTCTGTTTTTGGCCTCCGTTCTTCTTTTTTGTCGTTCGGGTGTTTTTTTTGTTTTCGCTAATCTAGTTCATGCTGGCAGCACCTCGGCTGCAAGGAAGAAGGGGGCATGCAGTGTGAACACTGTGTGCCAGAGTCCGTGAACCGACTCAGTCAAGAGTGGATCAAAGCGAAGAAAACAATTGGGCGTTGAAGGATTGCCGTGCCATCCCAACTTGCCCGCGTTAGCTAGAAGCTCTGGTGATTTGAGCACCTGTAAGCTGTTCCACCGCTTACATTATGTATATATACTGCTATAGATCATATTATGTAATTAATGAGGGGCCAGGAATCCCGGCGTAAACTCTTGGGACAAACGCTTCATTTTCTAGCGTGGTATGACCCCACCATTTCGGACATCGCAAGGCAAGCGGTAGGGGATGATCATGACTGGGGTGGGGCACGCACCCAAGTCATGCAGCTAGCTGATGACTGGGGGGGATGACAGATGCTGTGGGCCGACTGGCATCATCGCCACTCTTGCGAGTCTGCGAGCCAACCCAGCCCCACCCATAGTTCGACATCAGCATGATCGCGCTGTGGGAGGAGACTTCAGAAGTCTGGCCTTGGCCTTACGCTGCAGGTGTTCCAGTGTTTCCCCATCCTGCGATGAGCTCGAAGGGCTTGGGTACCAGGTCAACTGGAGGAGGCAAGTTCTTCCTTTACTTCAGCAGACCTTCCCTCACCTGCCGAACTTGTGGGCATGGCCCAGATCAGGAGCCTGCTCTCAGCACCTTGCCTGCACCAGGGCACAGGTGCGCATCCATCGGAGGAAGCTGCGCCCAGTACCACGGAGAGTTGCTGTTCCTGGTGACCGCTGGCCGTGAAGCCCTTCATCCGTACTCCGTTAGGGTTCAAGCAACGCTGCAAAGGGCAGATCTATCTAGAGCCCCAGAACCGTAGGTTTGAGTGTAGCCTCCGTTTCTATTTGCATTGCTGCCATAGCGAGGGGGTTGAAAAGCCCCACGTGGCACAGAAGAGCAGGAAGCGAAGCCTGGCAAGGAGATTTATGAGGTTTAAGAATAGACTGCGCCGCTTACTCGCCCACTCTTGCTGAATCCGAGTGAGGATACGGCGGATTTGCTGACGCAAAGGGGTAGACGCTGTGCTTCGTACCATGGCGGTGTCGGGGCGAAGCTGGGCCAAGGACCAGCAAGGACGTCGTCGCTGCGTCGTTGGTGTACGGACCTGCTGTGGCGAAGGCGAAAAGACCATGGCGACCAAGGCTTGGACTTGGTCTGCCAATGTTTGATTTCTTTTCTCCATCATAGCTGGGTAGGACATCATTTGCATCATTTGTTCCTTCATTGCTGTCACTGCACATCCATCGTCAGTGCAATGACGAAAGCACATCCTCATCGGACCCTTCGCCTTCCATGTCTTCCTCGATGCTGTCGATGCCATGGCTCTGCCTTGAGCTCTTCTCTTAGCTCTGCCATGGCGCTCTCGTGCCTTTTCTCTTCTTGGCCAGCAAGAAACACTGAAGAACCGATCCGAGCGAAATGAGAAGCAGCTCATCCGTCAGGTCAAAGCTGCAGAAGAAGAAGAAGCAGTAAGATCAGCTGGAATGGCCGGATCCAGGCGGTCAAGCATTAGCTCCATTTGGCAAGGCACAGAAGATGAAAAACTCCACAGGGGGCAAAACCCTATCAGACTGTATTGCCATTGATGAGCGGCAGTGTGAAGATAGATCCGTACCTCGCTATCACTCCGGAGGCGGTAGTGACCGAGCTGCCAAAGCAGAGATTGGGGAGAGTATAGATTGAAATCGACCATGCAGATGGGTGTGCCATTTTTCAAGGCTGCAGCATCGTGCAGGTCCCAGAAGATAGAAATGGTGTTTCAAACGGGCAGCCTGACGATTGATAGGGATCAGAAGCCAAGCTGCAATCGTTCCAAGAAGGGGAATCTGTATGAAAATCACAATACAATAGGGGTCAATGATGGAGACATATGTGCTCCCGTTGATAAAGAGTCGAACAATCTGAAGACATATGTGCTCCCGTTGATGAGGCAAGGGTGTCCAAAGTGCTTTGATGGTTGGGGACACAGTGCGTGATTTCTTCCGTGATGCCATTGTGTTTTGTATGATGCAGCTGATCTTTATAGCGCTTGCGCGCTACATAGGTCGAGGGTACCAAGGATGGTGGAGAATGGCGTCATGGTTGATTGCTAAGCAAAAGAGAATTGTACAGATGCCAACACAGCGGCATTTACATGAGGTGTTTGTCCTGCTTTCACTTTCCTGCATTTCAAGCCTGGCAATCCAACGGCCCTTCCCTTTGCCCTTCCCGGGGGGTGTTGGTCGGTGTGATCGAGGGATGAGTCGGAAATCTGTATAGGATCCACATCACATCGCAAACAGAAAGCACACCCCAGCACATGAACAACAAAAGGGGAGAGCCGAAATAGACCGAACCCCACAAAAACGAAGACCACCCCAGACCATGAGAGTACAGTGGCATCCAAGGACCGTGGTGGCATCAAACGCGTCAATTAAACTTGTAGGTAACAGGCTTCCATGGTTTGGGGATGTTTGGGGAGAGGGTCAACATGCATTTCCATATTGTGGATGTGGGAACCTGGGTTTTTCACGTTCCACATGTTCCCCTGACCTGTTCTAATCGGATTCTTCGCCAGGAGCGGGGTGCCCATGGTGGGAAACCAGCCTTCCGGAGGTCGGACTTCGGTGCGGAAGGCGGTTACCAAGATGTCATGCGCAATGCACAAACGCGCTGGTGAATGAGCAAAAGCGACCCATAGAGAAATCCTTCAGATCTGGAAGTCCACCAATTTTTGTTCAATTATCTTTGGCATTAAAAAACACGAACTTTATACCCTCTCATGCGGGCAGAACAATCCGGAGAAGGGATCTTCTGCAACAAAGGGATTCTCCTGTTCCACCTGAAGACTCTTGTATGTTGTGTGTGTTTTGGTGGATGGATCAATCTAGATTTTCTTTGAACACCCCCTATGGGTCCAAATCAGTCTTGGACTCATTTGGACTCACGTTCTTAAAAAAAATGTGCACTTAAGTAGAAGCATGGTCTGACTTGGACTGTTTCCAATTGGTTTTCCCGCTTTTCCAGGAAGCACCCCTGTCTTGCTCTTCCAGATCCCACCACGGATCCAGAGTGCTCTTCCCCGTACGACCGCCTTCTCTCCTGTCGCGGTGAGCAGACGAAGGACCACGGGAGATGCCTGGATCTTTCATCAAGAGGGTCTGAGCCGAGGCGCGGTGCGCACGGAGCATGGACGCACGATGGCGTAGCATACGATGGCGTAGCGTGGCGCTGCTGGTGGTGGAGGAAAAGTGACTGTTGTGCCGCCCATGTTCGCCGTACGGCACATGCCCAGGCACCTGGCATTTTGGACCCTCCTTGCCCCACGGCGCTGGGGCTGCGGTGCACTTCTCGTTCGGGACCCTCGTTCCGCGGGCATCGGACGAGCGCAGCTTGCAGCTCCCAGAGCGGCTTCATTTCTTTTGGTAAAGAAAGACTCTGAAAGACAAGGCTCAGGGCTGGAACCTTTGGGGTTTTGAGATGTTTTGCATTTTGGAGGCTGAAGAGTTGCAGGAAGTAACTTAGTATTGGTAGAACCTTTTGGCGGCTGCTACAAAACGCTACTAGTATTAGAGATACTAGAGGACAACCTTTCGTTTCAGGGTCTTTGATCGGTAAAGTTGGTGCAATGTTCACCTTCAGGATTGGTGTAGAGCTCAAACAATGCAAAGCCTATGGCTGGCCCTTGCACATTTGGCCATAGGTTTCTGGGTGGCCCTTGCAGAGCAGGATCGATCCTTCTGAAAGACATCGAAAGACTTATCACGGTGAAGTGTGTTTAACATTGCTAAACCCAAAATCTTCATGAGGACTTGTCAGATAGATACGGTCATTTTTGGTTAAATAGGTTGTACAGTTGTACTGTACTACAAATGATGCATACATGTAAAATATAAGTTGTATGGACGCTTGGTTCAGTGGCAGATATCTCACGCTTGTGCAAGCCAATCTCTGGATACTGTATTTGCCTGATCCCGGCCCGTCAGTCATGATTTCACGATTCTTTGAAGCAATGTGCGAACACGGACATCCGCCAAGGTGAACGCTAGAGCGGAACTCACAGTGTAACGAATCTTCGAGGTGATGCTTCCTGTTTTGTTTTGGGTCCAGTCCGGGTCCAGGTTCCTTTCTCTGAGAGGTTCTCCACCTCGGCTCCCCGAACGCTCCGCCCGATGCTCCGAGGTCCGTGGACGCGGCGCGCGACCCGGTGGCGGCCAGCTGGCCGTCGGAGTGCCTTGAGAAGGCGGAGCCGAGCCGGGTCGTGGCCAAGGGACATGTTTTTTTCTCAACAGACTGTTGGAAAAGACTTGTCTTGGCACGATGAGTGTCCAACATGAAACATCAAACATTGAAACATCAAACATTGAAACTCCCTCTTGATTTATGTCAGACGGGATGATTTGGGTAGAAATATGTGCCAACACAGGTTGAAGAACCCTATAGCCAGGTACGGTACCCTAGGTGACGGGTCACTATAACTTCTCTTGGAAATGGATAGACATATGAAACAATAATGTTGACACAGTGAGGATGCCCTCAAGCTGCGGTGGAGCAATGTCAAGTCTTGGGATATACCAGCTGGCACAGTCTTTGGGAACAAAAGGGAAATGGGTGGGGAACAAAAGACTTCAGGGATCTTCAGGGGCTTCTCAAGAAATCAACATAGCAGGCAGAACTTTCTTCATAATTTGGCATGAACACGGCCATTGTCATCATATCTGTGGGTCACGGCGACCAACCCCTAATCATTCTAGCTAAGCATCAGTATGTTGGGTTGGTCCACATCCTGCAAACTGTCCAAAAGACCTTCCAGATCGCACATCTCACATGCAGTCGACCCTCCTCAGTTCTGCCGCAGTACAGCGACATACGCAGGCCCCCCAAGCGGCTCCCAGTGATATCTCGAGAGGCAGCGACTTCCCATGGCCGTCAGCTTTGCATGAGACCCCTCCAGCTGCTTCACAAACATATATAATACGCTCCCTAGAAGTAACATGGAAGTGGAGAATGGCCCCGAAAGGAAGACCATTTTCCATTACTACAAACAGGTGGTGCCATCCACTTCCATGTTAGTTCCAGGGAGAGTAATATGATGTAAAGTAGAATCATGACAATTTTGCATTGGACGGATTGCGAGATTATTTGTTTCCATTTTGTGGTCTTTCGCCCCACACACTGAGTATCTACCACCAGACCTGGGTTTGCTCCTTCCAGGTCTGGCAACCTTCAGGGACGAAGCCAGGGTGCCATCAGTCCGGGGGGGGTGAGGTCTACTAGCAACGCACGTTGCTATCGGCATCTTCAGAAGCAAGACCAAGCCGACCAAGATGCTGAAATAGGTGGAAGGCTTCACTGGTGCTGAGGCATCAGCAGTTCTTAAAGGGTACTTACGACTTTTGTGCACATGTGTTTGTTGACTTCCAAGGGTCCGGGCAAGCCACAAACAAGGGCACTGGTGCCATCATCTCTTCAAGGCCGTGTCAGACTCTACATCCTTCTCATGGAGGTTGGAGATACCTTCACCTTGACAGTGAAGGAAGACTATAGTGATTTCGCTCTTGCTGGGATTTTATGGTGTTCAACGTGTTGGAAGTGGAGTCAAGGCTCAAACTCATCTTGATCTCTGCCGAAATGTCACTACAGATTGTTAAACCTCTTGCCGCTGTGAACCGTTCAAAAAACAGCTTCCTGGCGTTCGGTGACCGTTGCGACCCCTGCGTCCAAAAGGAGGATGCGAGACATCCAAAAGGGTGCACCAAGAACTCCTTCAATTTGGTCGTATCCTGCACTCCCCATGGATCCACATACCGAACCAGGTCGGTACGGTTTTCGCAGGGAGACGACGGAGTCTATAGGCGGTCTTGGAGGGTCCAGTCATACCGAACCAGGTCGGTACGGTGGTGGATCCTTAGGGCCTAGGGACTTGCCAAGACCTGTTTCCGGTGAATCTGCCAACGAGCTGTTTCCGGTATCAACGAAGTTGGACGACTGCGAAAAGCGTACTGGGAACAGGACGACGTGGACGTGGCATTGAACGCCAGATCCTACTGAAGGTTTGCCCTCCCTGAAGCAATCATGGAAGTGGAATACAGGCTCTTCATAGAGAATTCAGTCTTCCTTCTGGGGCCATGTTTCACTTCCATGATTGTTGGATGGAGGTTCTGTACCCTAGGGCTCCAACCATATCCTCAGAAGGTGGTTAGACCCCCCCCTGGCATCCACCCCAACCATCTTCTCAGGAGGTGGTTGGAGCCCTAGGGGTAGATCAAAGCAGAAGTCAAGTCCCAAGTCGGCCCAGGGGCCACGCACCGAGCTAGAACGCACGACCCGATCGCCCAAATGGCCCGATCGGGCGATGAAGTTGGTCCGATCGTGAGGTAATGGCCAAAACCGAAGCCATTTGGATCCAAAGACGGATCTCTGAAACTCTTTCACGTTCACGAACCACGGATCTCTGGAACTGTGCGCAGCCGAAGAGTCGACAGCCTACCAAAGTATTCCGTCCCGTCGGTGGATCACCTGACAAGTTTCATCGGTGAAGAAATTGGTTCAATCACTTCCACGGAAAAAGGGATCTCTCGGGAATTGGTCGAAAAAAACCCATGGCTCAAGATAGAAAAACATCGGCTTGGATTTCAATGTTCAATCTCCAAATTTTGAACCACACATTTCAAAGGTTTCCCAACTCCTGATCAGCTTTGATTTCCGGGTTCAGAAACTCAAAAAGACCGGCATGTTCGCTAAGGCCTGCTCCCAGTGGGCTATGGGTGGACAAAGTGCGATCCCCAGAAAACATGTGGGTTGGAGACACCCAACCAGACCGGTCTACTTTCCTTCTTTCAGGAGTAGAACTGGGATGTCTCCCCTAAAAAAAAGACAAGGCACCATGGAACAGGAGAGATGGGGCGACTCATTGAGTCCGGAGGACAGTACATGGACTCTCTTGGTGGTGGGTTATGAATTTACAGTAGGTTGGAGCTCATCGCTATTGGAGGCCGCTATTAGGTTGGAGGCCTTCTTTAGTATGAATTTACAGTAGTGATCGGATGTCATGGGATAGCACCACTGACTATAATATAAATAGTTGCCAGTGACTCTACTTCTCGGGCTCGAAAGGCTTTCTGCAAGACTAGACGACTTGACGTTTCAAGAAGACTATTTACCAAAGAACTTATCCATTCGCAGTAATTTCTCCATGTATCTCCATTTGTTTTAATGTGTATTTGTTTTCAGACCGAGCAAGAGAAAACCTGTACACCAGACCTCCGGGTCTGGCTGAGACTTTTGCCCAACACCTGAGACTTCAGCCCGGCTGGCGAAGCGAAGCCTATGGATCGCCCACGGAGCATGTCCTGCTTACGATTCAGCGGATGTTTCGTCCAATGTGTGAAAAGGGGAGTAGCAAGTTTTGGGAAGATCTTGATATACTTGAGCATGTCCTTTTCCTCCTCATTCCTCCTCCATTTAGCTTGGACATTTCTGGCAAGGGAGCAAAGATCTTGGTGATACAAGAATTCTTCCTTCTCTCCAAGAATCTCTCCTTTCCTTTTTCGTTGTATGAAGACATCGGATCACCATCATGTTCATTGACTTCTCTACGTCCACAAGTCCCCGCACCAAGAGCCTACCCCAGTCAGTGGACAACCTTTAGTCTTTTTTTGACTGATATCCCCACTAAGCAAGAACAGGTGGACTGCAGTATCTTCTGTCGCATCTTCTGTTGCCAGACAGTGTCTACAACAGTTTCACGGACATCACGCCACTTGGATTGATAGAACAGGTGGACCGGTCTCCGGCAGGTGACAGAGCAGTCCGGTTGCGCTTCGGATCCGCTCCGACGGGCCAAGGACTTTCCGCCCTCGGCCAAATCGATTGGCCGGGGACGCAAGTGGGGGTGTTTGGGGCGGAAGGTCAAGGATCCAAGCATAGGGCGGACCCCACCCTATTCGAGTGGTGACTATAGTCAATGTATATACTGTATATATATATATAGTCACTATTATATATATATATATTAGTCCTTTCAAATCCTTGCAAACTCCTGTTGAAACATCGGCACTTGAAACCATGAACCTCAGGTTTTGTGGTTGTGGGTTTTGTCAACACACGGGTATGCTCCTGGAATTCCTTGATGCCTCTTTCAAATGGGCTACTACTAGTACATGCAGGACAGGAGACCAAGTCGTATGAATATCATGATATCAACACAAAGATATGGCACAACCACCACCAACGTTTGTCGCACCGGTGCGTGAGCGCTTAGTTAGGAGCGGATGATGGTAGATCTGTTTGTTGAAGAACCATCATTGTTCACGATTCATCATCGGGACTCGGCACCCTGGTTATCATCATGTGAGGTGATCAAACTGCCAGGTGCCACGGCGACGTGATCATGAGCGACGTGCCACGCTGCAACGCTTCACGGCGACGGATCGTCCACACGGACCGAGTCGGTCGAACGGCGTCGTGAGGCAATTTGAGCTGCAAGGCTGAGTGGGTGCCCGTGAGGCTGGGACGTGAGCATCGAAAGCAGACGAAGTAAAGCCAAGGTCCAACCATCCAATCACCTAACTACCCAAAGTGTAAGAAGTAGACAGCCAGGGTTGGACAACACTGTGTAGAATGTACTGTAGTTATACATTTTATGCAAGAACAGTGGTGATTTCCAACACCGAAGCCACCTCCTAAACCTTCTCAAATTAATCGTGGGCTCCATGATTGGCAGAGAAACGGCTTTCTCAGACATCATGGATGTTGTTGAACTGCCGCGGTGCTGAACTGTGGCTTGGATAATTCATGTAATGTGTGCATCCACCCACCCCGGTCCCGAACCGAACACGAAGGTAGTTGCCCTAGGGGATTAAGAATGGCGGGCACCAGCTGGAACGCTGTTCCAGCATCCTACAGCTGAATCCCGAATCTTTTTGTTCGGACTTCTGTGACTGGCCTGGAGGGCCTGGAGTGAGCTGCAAGCACTGCATCACTGAAGAGAGTGATCACCGCCTTGCTTCGCGTGAACTAAAAGAATGCGATGATCGGTCGTGGTCGACCCTCAGGACCTTCTGTTCGCGCCAGGACGACCCTGGCGTTTCTGGTCGAAGGCCTTCTCGCATGGGAACCGTCTCGCGTCCAAGCGTCTGATCCACCAGGAGACGGTTTCAGAGGTTCGGTGTGGCACCAGTTACTCGGGGCTGGTTTAGTAGTGGACCCCCATCTGTCTAAGACATCGAAATGGGGTGCCAGTGCCCAACGAAGCTCTGAAACCAAAGACCATGCAACGTTCGGTCCTATCTCAAAGGTGGCATGGTTCTCTAACCAGCCACACTAGGCTGCCAAGCGCTTCACACTCCGCTGTGAACTGGCCTCATCAGGCCACCGAACGTGGGGGGCGACGCATCAGGCACGTTCGGTGGGACAGTTGACAGACGCATCGATTCAGCAGATTTTGCAGCGCCGTGGATTGCACTACTCGCCTTGTACCTACAGGATCCTACAGTGCGGGGGCATGTTGCAGAGCGCCACTTCTCATCAGTGCCTGAACTTGTGGAGTCTATCACAAGTTGGAAGACGGCAGACCTGAATTGCTTCCAGAGCGGGTTCAGAACACTTACCACAAGCGCACGGGAGACACAGCGCTGACCTTTGACACCCAAGAAAGGCCAAGCAGTTCAGAACGGCTTTGGCGGCACCACCAACGCTGCCCGGCCATCGCAGACGCTCGCCAGCTGCGAAGGCTTCCGTCCGAAGATCGAGCGAGGACGATCGATTCCAAGAGGTAGACCAGCAAGTAGCAAAGTACTCAGTTGTAGATGGTTTGCTGATGGGAATGAGGCTGGGTCTAGCAGAGTCTAGCATTTGATAGGGATCCAACGTCACTTGCCACGGGGATGGTCCAGTCTGACCCAGTTCCAACCCTGGTCCAATGTCCTTTAGAATATTGAGATGGACTTAAAACGACACGTTTTCAATTCCTTTAGACTAACATGAGCAACCTCTCTATCTTTTTGTTTGCAACGGATCCATTGAGTCATCTGATCTCTTCAACGCTTCACCGGTTTCCAGACCTGCAGGGCCCCAGGACCGGTCTGGATCGCCGCGTACCGCGTACTGCGTACTCTGGAGGTCTGGAGCCAGTCGTCCTGCCAGTTTGGCCGACCTTTTGCAATTACTGCGTTTCATCTACCTTTGGTGCCACCTATTAGCCACTCCCCAAATAAAGCACTCCAACTGCTTTGGTCATTGTGAACGTTATGCCTTTGCGAAGTCTTGGGGATCCCTCCCCCATCAGATCAACATCACAAGCCTTCTTCTCTCCCAAGGGGAAGACAATTCCAGAGTTTATTAATGTCTATTCCATGCCCCAAAGAAAATTTGGAGGAAGACCGGAAGACCCATCAATTTGCAGATTTCAACTAATAGACATAGATGTATTGGATCATATTGGATCTATGTATATCAAGCACAATCCTTCTCCACAAAAGGGAGGAAGCCCATCGGCTTGGAGCTTTTGGAGCCTTCTGAGGCAGCTGCGCGAGGGCAATTGGCAGCTCTTCGATGTATCTTCTCTCCCCACCTCCGGTCGTGGTTTCTCCCGGGTGGACATTGGGATATAGAAAACAATTAACGGCCAATGGATCCGAACAGAGGTCCTCGGGTCGCATGCTGAAGATACGTCTGCTTCGTGGTCGGTGCTTTTGGGATGTTGTGGATGTGGATGGCCAGTAAGTATATATACCAGCAGGCTGAAATACCTTGATAACTTGACAATGACTCGAACAAAATGCGCCCGTGGTCAGAGCTTTGTGTAGATTCAGGATGGAGGAAGTGGATGTTTGATGCGAAAAGTATCAATACACCTTGGTGCCCAGCCACTCATGACAGTACCAGAGGAATGTGTTTTGTCATTGTTTTCCACCCAACAGGCCGACCGAGACAGACCGAGCGCGAGATTCCGCGTCCTGGACGGGCCCCTTTTTGAGTCATAGCACAACATGGGCTCTTCCAGCAGAGCCTGGCTCTTCCCTTACTGTAAACATTTCCGTCTTGGGACGCACTTAGTGAAGAGATTGGATCTCAACCCTACTCTACGTCAAAGACCTCATTTTACTGGAGTTGGTTGTACATGGTTGTGCAAAAGCGCTACTCAAGAAGGTACAAGCAAACAGGCTTTACTAGGTCTTTGGTCTTGTAGGGCAAAGTCCATGTTGTCCTCCACCCAATCAACCCATGCCCTGTTTTTGAGAACGTGACGGAAGACGCGATCATGTTGGATTGCCGCGGTCCTCGCTCGGCACACAATAGGCCCCCAAAAAGAACTGCGGCTGATAGTCCAAATATGTCCAAATCGGGATTTTCTCAAGGGGGTTATTGTGAAACGAGAGGCCACAACATCCAATCAACTAGATTCATGGGTCATAAAATCATAAACTTGGGCGAACTTGGAAAGGCATCATGGAACGAACATGTCAATCATATTGCAAAGGAACCCGTCTCCGCTAGTTCATAGCTAGCCACCGCACATGCGTTCAGGTACAAACCCCATTGGCTTGCTACTTGATAATCACTAGCAAACCCACCCACCCACCCAACCACCCACACCTATCCACTCACCCAGACTTTCACCACTCACCACCGGGAAGCACTCAAACCACTTGCGCGAACCGCGCCACCTTCCGACGCGCAACCAACGGGGCGGCCTTTCTTCGATGCGGAACCCATGCCTTGGTCTTCGACAGAGGCGGAAGCGTTTCAACGATTTCAACCGTCGCTGGAAACGGGATGTTTGGGATGTTCGGAGCGGGGGAGATGTTTAGGGGGATGAGTTGTTTTTCCGCACTCTTTTCCCAAACTGTGGTCCTGTAATATCTGTAATGTCCTGTATACATATCGATGTTAACATGTTAACATGTTTTCCGAGACCAGTGGAGACCTGACCAGCTAATATAGTATACGACCAGGACGGCTCAAAAGTAGCTCAGTACGCGATCAAACGACTAAAACAAAGCAGTATCCGACAAAAGCAGGAGCTTAAGAATACCATCTACCCTGAACTGGTGGGGATGGGTTTCCTCACAACACCAAAGGACTAACCTCTATTTTCTAGGGATCGAATGAAGCGGTATTGGGACAACCCAGACAACATGATCATACTTTTTTAGCAGTTCAAGCTGGACTGTATTCAGCTTGGGTATGTGGCCCAATGGGAACAAACAGAACATGACGTCGAACCATCTCTGGCCCTTGGCCTCTAGGATGCAACCAAAACCAACAGAACCATCCCCACCACTGGAGAAACGATGTCAATTTCTATATATCCATTTCTATGCCTTCTGTTGAACACATTGAACACCTTTAAAGGACACATCGCCCCTTGTTCTGGCCGCTCTTTCAACAAACCAGGAAACCCCATATACAGATACATAGGAGTTGCTTTGTCTTTAGCATCTTTTGTTGGATCAATCAATTCATATGATCTCCCGGTTGCTCCTACACGCTTGCTCGTTGTGGCTCCGGCATGCTCGTGTTCCCCAGGCTTGGTCGTTTTCCCCAGCTGCCGGTTCGGTGGCCGCTGGGCACAGAGGTAGTCCGTCTCGCGAGCCACAGAGATACCCCGCTGGTTTGACAATCCCCGTTAGACCCTGAAAGCTGCAGTGCAGCCAGAGGAAAATAGTGGTCCATGAGAGTTGGGAGGGTAGTGCAAAACTTCTCGCAAGAAGAGCACATGATCACATATCAGAAGCCACTTGGAAGACGCGACTTAGCTGCTTGGGTAGCGCTTGGAAGTGCAGAATCTTGGCTTTTGGCCCAAAAAGGTGTTGTGCATCTGGCCTAAGTTGACTGGCTTGGATGTGCACTTTGTCATTTGCTCCCAATTTGTGGAAGATGGTTTTGGATGTTTTTGGCACTTCTGACCCTGGCTGCAACCTATACTTCTAGCCTGACGAAGATCGGCCAACAACATTTCACATTCATTTGGGACGCCACCCAGTCCCAGTAGTCAGAAGTACTGCTGGCTGCGAAGCTTGGCTGTGTTTCGCCAGTGGGAGTGAAGAATTGAGATTGAGAAGAATGTGTTTCCTTTGTGTACTGTGTAGACAAGAAAGATTTGGCAGTGAGTCTTCAGCATGTTCAATGGGATTGTTGTCTTTGGAGTTCCAGATTGAGAAAGAGTTTTTTTCTCTACCCCTGTACCATTGAAAGTGAACCGGTCCGTGAACGGACCCTGTCCGTAGCCGCTCCCACTCACCAATCAACGTAGGTAGCGCGTCGCCGCCGCATCGGTGGACATGATTTTGTGGCGATGATCGCTATGGAGACACATTTCCTTCTGATACCTGATACCCCTTCTTCATGATGTGACATTGATTTCCTTCTAGACCAAGTTCATTCTTAGATATCTGATTTCGCGAGAGAGACACCAACCCCTTCTTCATTTACCAAGTCATTCTCAAGACCTGCGCCTTTATCTTAAGGTTTCCAGCCCTTGCCACTGGTGGCAGCAGCAGTAGCAGCGCAGGCATGGTATGCAGGGTGTCGAAAAAAAAAAAAAAAAACAATCAGGAAAGGAACGCTTTCATAACGGCACTGAGGCGAAACCATGATTTTGTCGAATCCCATTGTGAACTCCACATGAAAGAAGAGTAATTACCGGCATCCAAAATGAGCTTAAAGCGCAGGTTTCGTGACCACACAACAATGACTGCTGCTCCTAAACACACTACTGTACATGTTCAGTTTTCAACCCGCCGGGTCTTTTGACAGGGGCATCACTGTAGAAATATCCACTACGAGTCTTACGACCGCTACCAAGTGGAATTTTGTAATAATTCTTGTCATTTTTGTGGGCAAATCCGTGCATGTTGGAAAACAAATTGTGACGGTACTCGAGCAGTTGTGCATCTCATGTTTTTTGTAGAGAACATTAATTAGAGAACCATTTGGTAGGTTTGGTTCGTTGTCGTGTCAAAGCAGGAAACCCTTTTGTGGCGAGTGAACCAGCTTTGTAAAGAGAAACATGTTGCTTTTGTTTGATGTTGATCGATGTTGTTCTATCATCATAAGATCATCATTAGATCATTGTGGGAAGACCTTTGCACCCCAACATGGTGCATTCGGGTTCGTGGGCTCCATTCTTTTTTGCCCTGTAGTCAGGACCACTTTCTACACAATGACTTTGACATGTACGCATAAAATCATTTTGTAGATTTTTGTAGTGCAACATTTGGAGGTCTACCACTTTGTACCTACCAAGCGCCTTGCACAGCAGCATACAGCAGCACTTATGACATATTTATATTTATGAAATATTAAAACCGAAACCGCAGGTGGCCAGGAGACAGCATCCTTGTTGCTGAGGCGTCCGGGGTTCATGGGAGCGGCACGGTTGGCGGCCAAGTGTTTCATTTGGGAAAACGATCGATTTGACGTCGCACCAAGGAAAATACCTGATGCACAAGGCAAAACCAGGGCGCTGCAGATGCTCCGGATGGACCATATATTTGTTTATCACTCATCGCCTTTTCTTGCTCCATGAGGTCGTCATGAGGTCGTCCCTGAGATTGAACATCTTTTATGTTGTCTTGATTCGTCAACTGACTTGGCCTCATTTCGGGCCGGCTTTGCATCCTTAAACATGGATGCTTTTGAAGACAAACGCACCCATCACTGCCGTCGCAGAGTTTGCTCACCCGGCTTTGAGTCGTTGATATACTTCTTTAGCCCCTCCCCCGTTGGAGTAAGAATCCAGATGGAAACAAACAAGTTTGTTTGTCCATCCAGTTTGTCCATCGCAGTTTCCTGCCCAGTTTGTCCATCCAGAACACACACGTGACGTCCGGTGACACCGCGTTTTCCTGAGCGGGCGAATGCTCACATGTGACACGCGACGAGACTCCACGGCAGGCGCTTTGAGCAGGAGGAAGATCAGCTGACCCTTCGGCAAAACTTGGATTTGTCAGGAGCTCTGGGGGTCGCCACAAGTGGCCAAGAGCAGGGGGTAGAAACACCGAGAGGGTGTGGGAATTGGTGGGAAAGGACCTTAGGATGAGGACAGGTTGCAGTTGGGAGGGGAAGTGTTGCTGGTGAGCCAGGCCGGGTGTCGGATCACGACATAGCTGGATAGGCCAGGTAGTCCTTGGGGCAACCTGGCACAGGTGGACAAGCACCCTTAGATTGCATCAGTTGCTGCAGGGTCCAAGGGCTTGCAGCTTCGCCTCTCACAGACAGCCAACTCTTTGTCGATTAAACTTGAAACAACCACCTTAGAGGTGGTTGGTGAGTAGAAAAATGTCTCTAATACGATGCCCATTGCATACATGAAGATACTCACACCATTTGCGGTCCAGCAACCTAGAATCATAATTCTTGCAAGATGTATAATTCATACACCACACTTGGAGTAACTTGTGCTATCGAACCTCTGTTCCACCACTTATAGTATCCAGCGGGGATACCATGTTCTACATATATACACTCCTACTCATCGCTGGTTTCATGGACCATGGCATGGCCACTGGGAAGACCATGGTGCCATCCTCTACAAATAGGTGGTGCCCCTCCACTTCCATGTGAGCGACTCCAAACACACCTGTTCATATGTTCATGTGATGTGTGGTGGGCTTGTCATACGACAGACGCCTGCGGTGGTGGTACCGCCGCGGTACCGAGGCTCGTGCGGCTGGGCGGACTGGCACCTTCGGTGCACGACGCGCGGCTCCAGCGCTTGGCGCGCGAGGCGCCGCGGAGACGGTGGACACCGCGCTCACGCGGTTTGGGGGAGATCCAAGGGGTGTTTGACACACCAAGACTGAGACGATCAATGTGATGGAGTTGTTTTTTTGGGGGGGTTGGATGTTTGTCAGGTGTTTGAATCTTTGAGTTTAGTTCTTCGATTGACATTTGGTTTGTAATCTTCTTTCGGGCCTGTTGTTTTGGAAAGGAGATTGGTCTGCAGTGGGTATCAGACGGGGAGGTCAGACTCAGACCCAGATGCTTATCAATGGGCATGCAAGGTTTTCTCCGACAGCATGCAATATAGACCCCTTTGCCCTCCTTCCATGCCCCAAGAAGAAACAAGACACACTTTGATCCCTTTTATGGAGTGATACTTGTTAAGCAAGAGTTCTACAATGTTCTACAGCACTAGCATTTTTGAGACGTGAAGACCTCGCTCTTCCAGCACCGTTTAGTTTCTTCGATCTTTTCCGGTCTTCAAGCGTCGACTCCCCTTGCCATCCTTTGGATCTGGGTTCATTCTACAGGGCTTTGAGGCTCTTCGCAGTTTGCGGCGGCATCAGAGGTGACTTGGACCCCACTTTAGGAGGTGGCTCCCACCAACGACATGCGACAAGCAGTGACTGCGATGACTTTTTTGTTGACTTGTTGGTTTGCACGACTTTTATGCGCTCATTTCGTAGTGTTGGAGTGCGGACAAAATTTGGCACAAGCTCTTGAGAGCCATTTGGCAAAGAACTCCAATCTATCCTATATTTTCCCCTACATTGTGGTGGTTTCAGGGGTCAGTGTATGCATACCGTAGATGGAGCGACTGGGTTTGGCAGCAAAGCTGTTGGTTTCAGTGGACCCCAATCAGCTACGGTACAGAGCTTGGTGCAAGGAACTACATAAGCAGCTGCTACATTTCCCATGTTTCATGTATTCAATCACCTGACGCATTCACAACAGCTCTGGTTCTATCAGGCTTTTCAACACATGTGCTGTTCACCATCTAAGACAAGAATATCTAAGACATGGAATCCCATAAAGATCCATGAGAAGCTCTTTCTCGCACCCCAACGGGGACTCACATGCGGTGGTCACCAGGTCCTGTCTGGCCGCCATGACTTGTCCTTGAGCGCCCTAGTGGACGCCACGAAGGCCCGGCACCGGGCCTTGGTCTCAAAAGAGGGAGACCTCCGGTTCGGTCAAGGGAAATAGACCAGTCTAAACCCAGGTGTCAGGGGGTCTCCCTATTCACACCCAGATGAAAGGTTGGGCATGACGACGACCAGGTGAAGACCATGTGGACAGCCTGGAGGTACTTTTTTTTGGTTCAAAGAGCCGGTGGGTGAGAATAGATCCATTGATTGATTGCTATCAAGAGAGAACGCCTTCTATTTGTTGCTCCGAATCCAAGAGCAGAAAGCAGAAGCCAGTTATGTTTTTAGAGGTCTTTTGTGGCTCGTCCCCCTGAAACCTACTGAATCTCAGTCAATGTGCTGATTCGATCCTGGTCGATCTATGGCTTTTTGGCCGGGAAACCCAGGGAAACCTATAGTCTTACAATTCCACACGCCTGGCCCTGGCCATGATTGGCACGTGGCAGTTGAATTTGAGCTTCTTCACCATGGAGAATGCCTTTTCTTGGTGATGTTTCGCATCTTTCATGTCATTTCCCAGACATACATCTAAAGGAACCTGGCATATCTGGAGGTCCAACCCCCATCAGTCGGCAGAGCTTCCCTCTCCATCTTCCCGCGCCCGCGTCCGTGCCGTCGGCCTCAGGCATTGCATGAGCTCGGTCTCCGCCAGGCCGGCGTCGAGTCGTCTTCCGGAGGCTGGCAGGTTTGGAGGCGCGAAAAGGCGAATGAAGCAAGGGGAACCACAGATCACCACAGGCCGAATTGGATACCATGCAATACACATCAATACACTTATGCTTCTTTACTGCTTTAACTCTGTGAAACCTCATTTGGGATATTTGGGGAACTGTGTTTACACCTCCCTTTATTAATTTTTCGGTAGGTCAAGTGGCTGTGGGTGCTCCAGTTTGGTCACATGTCCCTTGGCTCTGTGGGGGTAAGAATGGACTCATGGTTGAAGCCTGCTTTGCTGGCCTTGATGTTTTCGGTATATACTGTACAATTACTTGGCTTTTATGTCTACGGTAATCTAGCTTGGCTTACGTAGAAGAATGCTTTCTATCACCGGTAGACCGCAGAAATGGCAACTCCAACATGTATTTGGAGCTCAACCACGGGCCGGCCGTGGTGCTCGCAGTTCCAGGAGTTGGGACCTTTGGTGTCCATGGCCACTGAAAGTGCCGACTTCTTGTCAGGCACGAGGATACACGGGGAGGCGGTGCACACGTCTTGTATTCTGAACCTCCGGGGTTTCACGCACAGCTTCGTGGGGCACAAAGGCCTCAGCTTGGGCCTCCTGGTCGATTTGGACAGAGGCTTTGAGGTTGGGCACCCTTGTTGCTCCGGTCGTAAGCATACATATCTATGACAAGTTGGGCTGCTAGAGAGGGGTGACAAAGACAAACGAACAAACTTGGTCGTTCATCGATTCATCATCTCTATTAGGACAGGACACTCCAGGTCCACAAACCATGTCAGAGTCAAAGAATCTCGCGGCCCACAACATCCTGAACTATGGGCCTAACAATGGAAAGGAACACTCATTAAAGAATAGGAGACTGGTTGGATGTGGTTATTCTGCTAGACTTTTAACATCCATTGGCAGACTTTAGGAACAAAGGGACATTCTTTGGTCGGAATCCAAGTTGCACGCATTTTTTTCACAATCTGATCCGGATTCCACGTGTTGCAAATCGTAGTAATTTGTATCTGGAGAAAGGATTTTTCAGGCACTTCATGAAAGTGGCTCAACTGGTTGACCCGGGCTGGGTCGGCATCTTCCACTCCAGACAGATCGCGTCGTGTCGCATCAATCGCATGTTCCGTCGCAACCTGCGCTGCAGCGTTTCCGCAACACTCTGCTGCAGTTTCCGTCACGGTCGGCAACCAGCTGTGCCAGCTGCGCTGTTTAGGCGACGTGGTGCTCTCCTTTGCCAGGAACCAAACACGAGGGGGGCGGGGGGAACAGCTACCGAGACTAAGGACTCTCCATAAGTGTCCACTATATAGGCACCATAACACCATACAATACCTAGAAGACACATGAAGACACACGATTTATTTATATAACACCATTGTATAATACCTAGAACCCAGACATGACACCTGTTTTGATAAGAAGTTGGACCATCTTTTGGGTCGTTGGTGGTTGAACATAGTCTGTCACTCAGGTTCTAGGTATATAATATATATATAATATATATCTATGGAGGAGACTCCTGAAAAATGCCCTGACTCGCGGATCCAGGTGCTGAACACCAGTCACCCTGCTTAGCAGGAAGAAACACTTCGATTCATCAGCTAGAAATCCTACGTTCTTTCTAACAGTGGGAGCTCTCAAGGCACTGGGACCCGAGTGACGTGGTACCGGGTACCGGGTACACGAGCACAAAAGCTCCGCAAGCGAGCACAAACGCGTGCTGAAAACGCTCTGTAAGACCCAGTTGGATTCCATGCTTGGAGTGTTTGAGACCGAGATGTGACAGATCATCCCTTGGGCGGCCCTTTCTCGGAAGGTGCGGGATGCTCAGTTTCCCATGACCCACTATTGTACTGGAAAGGAAGCTTCCTTTCTAGATGTACAGGAGTTCATTTTGTTTATTAAGGGTACATGACATAAAACACGATCCAGAATCTATCATTCGGCAATGCCCAGTTTTTTTGATGCTTGCTTTAGCCGCTGGTTTAGTAGATAGGATTCCGATCCCTTTCTACCTAGAAAACAACCAGATCAACTAGTACAAATAGCCAACCCAAACTGTACATATGTTACATTGGTGTGGTTGAAAGGGGGTGAACGTATATTAGGTAACGGTGCCAGTCCCAGACATGATTCTCGGTGTTTGACACGGTCTGTTCAGGTCATCTAGAGCAATCACAGCTCTTCGACTTTGCAAGTCATGAGTGGTTAGAGTTTCCGCTAGGTGTGCGACCGCCCGCCTTGGCGCCCGCTTCCCCTAGCTTTTAAAGCTCAGTGAGACATATGACGACAAGCACGTCCCAAGTGAAAGGACCATAGAGGTACTAGCTATATGAAGCTTCAACTAGCCTCACAACCATCTCGAATTTGATCTCCCAATGTATGCCATCCCAGCTCAATGCTGAGACTTCTGAATCACGGCCTTTTTTGCCTTGTTCATCGAAAGCGAGATTGGTACGCGGCTCGTGTGGCACAATGCTGATGGTCTCGTGGTTGGCGCTTTTCCCACTGGCATGGGCTTCTTTGTCGAAGTACAAGATGTACCAGGCCTGGCTGTGGCAGAAATTGCAATCCTCAGGAACAAGGGTTTTGGGTCCATCCAGAAATGGTTTTGGAGACTGTGCCTGTATACTTGGATGTTCTTTCAGGGACTTTGGCAAAACCACAATTCAGGACTTTGGGTGTAAAGTGTAAAGTTCCTTGCGATGTCTTGCACACAAGAGCTTGTTCTTGAGAGTCCAGGTCAGGTGAGATTTCAGTTTGGATGAGATTCGGCATGTTTCGGCAGTTCTGTGAGTCCCAGAATCAAGGGAAGATCTACAGGAAACATCAGGAAACCCGTTTTGAGTGTGAACACCATGGGGTTTCACCAGTCTTTTTCTTTTCCCTTCAAGCAAACACATGACTGCAATTCTGTCCCCGGGTCCATGGGCTGCGCCGAGTCAGTCCAAAAACGGGTGCGCGGGTCCCAAAGCTCAAACGAGATCTGGATCGAGGGTGGTCAGGTCTCGGGGTACTGAGCTAGTTGGAGTGGAAGGTTCCGACCTGGCTGGTTTCTTAGACATATACAATCGATGGCCTTCGTCCAGAAGTCGACACAGCCTCTTCATCTAGGAAAAGATCATGTACTTTCTTACGCAATGACTTCATTTATGGTTTGTCTTTATAGTACTTTGGTTAAGTTTGCCCGCACAACGCGGCTGGCCACGCCGCACGACGCTTCCTCCCTGAGAGTGAAAAAATATGGTTTGTCACTCGGGTGACTAGTGACTAGTCATTCGCGCCCTCCAGGATCCCTCCTGCTGCCGTTTTTCTGAGCTCTTCCATACGGCCGACTGGGAGGAGAGCATTTCAACGGAAGGTGAGGAACAAGAGGTCTTGAATATTTGCTGAGTTGTTCTTTCAGTTCTGTTCACCTGGCATTTGGATCGGCAAAGCAAAGTCTCGAAAGAACCATGACAGCAGAAAATCGCCACGAAAGACGATAAAGTTCAGCCATTTTTCCACAGATTGCACAGTGTCTTCTGAACAGAAGCAGCTCTATAGCGGCCAAAAAGCATGTGGGAATTCCCAAAGAAGTCATGTCGCTGTGTGGAACGTTCCATTGCGCATATATGAAGCTCACTCCCACCCTACTAATGATTTGGTATAGGAATGTAACGAACTCAGTGCCTCATCGGGCTAGGCTTCACAGATAGTCCCATGGACCTCAATAGAACCGCTCCGCTGGGCGCTCGCAGGACACCGAGACTCAGAAGCTCTTCATCTCCCGCGCCTTAACCGCCGAGCGGCGCTTTTTTGCCCAGCCGGGCGTGAGCTTCGACCCCGACACGGGCATGACCTACGACGGGCACGCGTTGGATGCAGAGACGGGTCCCTTTGGCGGCATGTCGGTAGGGCGGGATGGAGGTGGTTGTGTGGCTTGCACGAATTCTTGAGAACCTTTGCACTTGTGCACTATATAACTACCTAGAACCTGAATGACACCTATTCCAACCACCCAAAATATGGCCTTTTCCTATCAAAACACGGGTCAGTTGGGTTCCAGGTATATAGATCATGATGCAGGTTTGAAGGCAGGAGTTCTGCCTGATGAAATATCGACCCTTACCAGCCTTACCCATAGATCGTGTGGGATGGTCCTGGCTCCACCCCACCACGCAAGGCAGCTCGTGAGACTCCACCAAAGTGTCAAAAGAGCTCAAAGCACATCAGAACACGGCGATAAATTACTATAGCAGCAGCATAAACAAAACCAGATACTTGCAGGTGACCATGGAAAACCAGTTGCGCACCCTTGGAAACATGTCATGACATGCATTCACTAACAACAACAACAAGAAGAAGAAGAAGAACAACAACACCAACACCAACACCAACACCAACACCAACACCAACACCAACA